GAGATGATATGCTGAGGGAGTAGGGTTGGATAGTTTGAGTTTGGTATATAGGGAGATGATATGGTGAGGGAGTAGGATTGGATAGTTTGGTATATAGGGAGATGATATGGTGAGGGAGTAGGATTGGATAGTTTGGTATATAGAGAGATGATATGCTGAGGGAGTAGGGTTGGATAGTTTGAGTTTGGTATATAGGGAGATGATATGGTGAGGGAGTAGGATTGGATAGTTTGGTATATAGGGAGATGATATGGTGAGGGAGTAGGGTTGGATAGTTTCACAAGTAAATGTAGGGAATAGTAATGGAGGGATAGAAATGGTTTTACATAAATGAATAGAGTGAAAATTCAAATTTGTATTTAAAAAGGTGGAACAAATGTTTATAAAATTGTTTATTTTCAATACTAAATTCTGAGATTGACCTCTCAAATGCCTGTTGCTAACTTCTCAAAGGACCTTTTATAAGGTAAATTGGGCTGTTTGTAAGTATTTCCAAAATTGTCTCAATTTCATTCTGAATCTGATTTTCAGTTTATATTTTCGTTGTTGGGAGGGATCTTAATGGTTTAAATGGTAGACTTTCCGTGATATACAGAATATTTTTGATTTAAAGCAGGGCATGTTTACATTGGCATTTTTTTATTTGTTTGATATTTTCAACGTTGTATACAGGGTGTGTTTTCGGTGATCTGCTGTCATTCTGAGGTATACCTGTTTGTGAGGATAGAAAAGGTGTTACAGGGCCCACTGTCCCAGGCCACTGAAGCGTACGTCAAGGTGGGCGAGCCAAGTCGTAACGCCACCAAACAGTACAAACAGATGAAACAACTGTGCAATAACATAGGACATTATCGAATGCCGTTCGGTTGGGCGGCAAGGTAATAATCATTTTGCCCTCATGAAACATGATTGTCTCAGGGAAACAAATGATCATGTTTCCCTATGAAAGTGACAATAAAAGTTTAATAATACGAAAATAAAGCAATAATATGGTCTTAAACTTTGATCCCTCCCTGAGAATCTGTCACGGGGAAATATTCCTTACTCCATGAGGGATATTGAAACATTAGCATGTATGATGTTGTGAATCTATAATATTTTGTTCTCGGATGATTTTAAGTTTAAAAATTGAAGGAAATATTTTAAGCAAGCCTGCGATAATTTTAAGGAAGTGTTACTAGCCAGCAAAGCTTCCTTCTATGTCCGACATGATAATTAATGGCAGAAATAATTGTGATTTCCTTTTGTTTATTTGTGATGTTCCATTGTCAGACAACTGGTGTCATCTAAGTATGGTCCGACTGAGCTTAAGGTCTACAGACACGAGGGGTCAAAACTATCGGAAGAAGATATCATCAAACATCTTCAAGATCTCAGAAAGTAAGAATGGATTGTAAATCACACCAAATTCTGCCTTATAGAGTTTACATATAAGTAGTACAGTATCAGTAATTATGAAATATTAAGTCTTATTGGTTATAAAATATTGCGTATAAATTACATCTTTGGATGTAATTAAAGAATTATAGCTTCCCAAGTTTGAATATTTAAAAACAAGGGAGAAAAATATAAAAAATAAAACCCCACAGGAGTGGAGCTCAAAACCAATATGTTGTCAACCTTATACTTAATCAATATTATAAATATTATAACTACACGAATTTGCAAATATCCACAATTTCATCTATCGTTATTCCAATTAACAACTGCTAATCCCTTCTCATGTCACGCGTCACACATCCTTATGTACATGTTAAAGTTGATTCTCTTTAATATTTCTACTGAAAACACATATAAGATGCATCTTTTTTGTTTTAGACCAGAAAAACAGGGGAAACTACAGGAAATTCCAGCTACATTTAAAATCAGTCTCCACAAACTCGGTGTTGACCAGCCTCTGTCAAGTAAGTATTTGGTCAACATATCGGTGTTCTCTAATGAGTGGTGGTTTGTGATCATGTTTGTCTAGCTGTAGATAGTTTAATTAAAAATGTTCTTTTGTCTGTGTAAATATTTGGAGTCATGCCCTACTTCAGTTTTAAAAACTGCTTGAGCAACCAAATTTGGAGTCTAAAAAAACTTTCCAAAACAATGTGACTTTTCAAAAATATTAAAATATTAAGTAGCATTTGAACTTGCAACTCTTTAGCTTCAGTAAGTAGCATTTGAACTTGCAACACTTTAGCTTCAGTGTGATAGTCTACAAACAGACAGATGACCCAGAGGATAGTCTACAAACAGACAGATGACCCAGAGCTGTTTGACTACAGATCTAATCCACTCATACCGAAACAGAGTGTTTAAGCATTTTAAAACAGTAACATCAATATGTATATCAATATGTTCTTACATATCTTCAATAAGATTCATCAGTTGTGAAATATGTAATATCAAAGTTTCACTTTATACACAAACAATGTACATATTAAATGTGTCACAACGTTTCAAGACCGACTGGTCCCTTTGTCAAGCTATGACTGAATGAGTGATTTGTATTGTTTACCTGTACAACGATGTGACAAAATTGAATATTTTTCATGTCACTCGACCCGGGACGTTTCGCCTATCGATAGAAAGTGTATACACACTGTATCGAATAGCTTACGTAGTTACATTGATGAACACAATTGAAAAATAGCTGATATTGAATTCTTCTTTTTTAAACTGAATTTCAGATTCATTAACAGCATCACTGATGCCCGTGAAACCGTTCCCTAAGCCACCCCCAGACCCCCCTGCGGTGGAGATTGACGAGTTCGTGCCAGACAAGGGACACTTATGTGACACCTTCGACAGCTACACAAATAACCTGTATGTCTACCCCTTCAGTCTCAAGTACGAACATCAGAAATCCTTCCCTAAGGCACGTAACATATCTTGTTGTGTCGAAGTTCGGGACTCGGATGAGGATGGAGCCATTCCGTTAAAGGTACATCTACATACTTAAGGCTACATGCTACCTTAATACTGTCTCTGATGTCTTTATTGGAGTTTGCTTCCTTTAAAATTTTGCTTTATCGAAAATTTCAGGATTGGTCAAGTGTTATCAAAAGACGGTACCTTTTCAAGTGTGTCTAATTCATTTAATTTTCCTGATATTACCTAGACAGGAAAGTAAGTGAAGTTCCGATTTAACTTCATTTAATAGGTATAGTTTACTTATATTTCACAATATTTGTGTTGCTATGAATTTGTGAAGAATGTAAATCGTGATATCGTATATCACACAGCGGTATCAAATATTACACAAATAATTCTTAAAGACACATTTTAAGAAATAATATATACATGTTCTTGGGCAATGTAAAAACGTTGATCCCGTTTGAATAAAAATCGTTGCAAATAAGTTGTGTGAAGCAAAAATGCAATTTACATTAATTACACATCTAATTGAACATAACTTGTTGATCATATCCATAATACATGCGTTATTACAAATACTCATTATGTTTGTAAAAACATTCTTCAGCACATTTTGGTGCTGGAAGATTTCTCTTCATAAACAAGGGAAAAAATGTTTATATATATACTTCAGTTATGATATGACTGCATTTATTTAGGATTGGCTACTTTGTAATCTGTCTGGTAACTTACTTTCCAAATAATGACAATAATAATGAGGTTTTTTTCTGGAATGTTAAGAGTTCCTGTATTTGTATGTATGATGTTATTAATGAATAAAGCTGCTAATTTTGTGTGATTTTTGCTGCCAGTGTATCTATGCGCGGCCAGAGATTGGGATTTATACTACAGTGTCCAGTACCGCTGTGCTACACCACCAGACCATGCCAGACTTTCTGGAGGAGGTACGATTATAGAGATGTCTCAGTGTGTAATGTTGACAACAAACCAGGGGATTGTTGTTCCTTTATATATGATATTCCAATTAATTAGGATATTTCACCATTTATACTCTTGTCTAATATGCTTGTGAAAAATATTGTAATTCTTAACTGAAATGACTTGTATAGGGAATCAAAATGATTACTCGAAGACAAAAAACACAACAAAAATGTTTCTAAATGTTCTTGTATTTTACAACAAAAAAAAGAATGTTTCAGGTATCACAACCTAGTTTTTCCCTCCGACCCTAACAACTTTATCTCACCTGAATGCACTCCATCCAGTGTTTGGATAGGTTTGTATCCAAACCAAAGTTAAATCCCATATGTGTTGAGGTGTTTGGTGAATTTTTTAAATTTCTTAACCATATTTTTTTCAGTCATGTTACCTGAAAGGTACATTTTTTTCTTGGCCTAATGAATATTGTGTCATTATTGACTTGGTAAGCTGATTTGGTTTCAATCATCTATTTCTGATATTTGGTTTGTGTTTTACAGATGAAGATAGCCTTACCCATACAGTTAACTGACCGTCATCATCTACTGTTCCGCTTCTACCACGTCAGCTGTGAGGGGTCAAAGTCCAGTATTCGGTCATCCAATACGTCACAGAAAAAGAAGGATAACATTGAAAGTCCTGTGGGATTTTCCTGTCTACCCATTCTCAGTAGTGGACGGTATGTATTAATAAAATCTGTTACCTGTAACTGAGCGAGATTAGGTTATCTCAGTTGAGGGCTAGGATTCTGTAACAAAATCTCAACCGAGGCGTAAGCAGGTATACAGGTACATCTAGTTATTGTCTGATGTAAGTGTCTACAGAAACAATAACAAATGTAACAGGAGATAGAAAATGCACGGCCAAACCGGGGGTCAAACCCTGGACCCTCTACACTCTAGACGGACTCTCTACCGATTGAGCTACCTGGTCGCCGACGATCGACCCAGTCAAGTTCCGCTACATTCATCCCTCCCTTTTTTAAGTCTTCGCCCCCCAAAGACACAACTATTTACAACCCAGGTCTTGGTATCCCCTTGTCAGGCACACACCAAATGCTTGAAACAAGGTTTGGTCACAGGCACCACTTTAACAGGAGATGAAAAAATGCAACCCAAAATCAACCCAATCTAGTTCCGCTACATGTTTATTTTTTCCCAAAAGAAATCCTATATCTTCAGAAAATATTAAAAAAGGGAAACAATTAATTTACAAATTATTTTCATTTTTCTGTCACTCCAATTCACAAATACTATTTATTATTCCTCCTTACTTTCAGCCTTTCTCTCTTGTTTACTCTTTTCATTTCTTTTATTTGCATGAAATATTTCCCAATTTCCGGATATAATATAGAAATAAACAAGTTTTGGGATGTAATATTACAGAGTGGCGGTCGGCGAACAGATGCTACCAGTTACAGTAAACCTTCCTCCTGGCTACCTGTCACACGAAGCATTGGGAGGAACACGAGGGGTGAGTGTACAGGGTACCATATAAGCGGCCATATTTTTAACCCCATGTCTTGTCGTGATAGTGAAGATCTTCAAACTGCTTTTACAAGGAATAATGTTGAAATTTCCAAAACATGATGTGAAACTGATGTTTAGCTGGAATAGGGGAATCTGAGGTTTAAATCGTATTTATCTTGTGTGGCCCCTTTTGGTACAGAGGGACTGGCTCAAAAGGGGTATTTTAGGCTTTGATCTTCTTCTTCTTTACCGTTTGAGGGATTTTTTCCAAACATGTCCTGGAACATCTTTGGCAATGTGGACTAAAGTTTGTATAAATGGAGGGTGTAACCCCTTTGGGTACAGAGGGGTGGGGCCCAATTGAGGAATTTGAGTTAAATCTTTAAAATCCTTTTTCTTATGTACCATTGGAGGGATATAAACCAAATTTGGTCCAGATCATTCTTGGGCAAGGGGGATCCAATTTGTTTAAAGGGAGAGTGTGGCCCCTCAAGGGGCAGAGGGGCAAGGCCAAATAGGGGGAACATATTAATAAGATATTATAATCCTTCTCCTGTTTGATTTGAGGGATTTTAAACAAAAAATGTGTAGAGCATCCTTGGGCAAAAGGGACTCAATTTTGAATAAATACAGGGTTGCTTTAAGAGGGCAGAGGGGCGGGCCCAATGGGGAAAATTGAGAGTAATGTTTAAAATCCACCCGAATTCAAGGGGGCAGAAAGATGGGACCTACTGAGGGACCAGTGTTGCTGAGAGACCGAGCAAATATTTGGAAATAGTTGCAGTGTTATATGTAATGAGAATATTTTACCATGGTTGCTTCATTATCCAGGTGAGCGATACTAGCCCTCTGGGCCTCTTGTTAACAAATAACATTAGACACATGATGGAAAATGCTGAACTGAGTCTATACGGCGGTGTCCATCAGAAACATGACTATATGATGCTTTGATAAAGAACATCATTAAATAGCACCGAAATTTGTATGCAGTGTATAATGTTTCAATTTTAAGGGCAAACAAATAATTTTGTTTTTCATTTGTTTGTTTGTTGCAGTCGTCTGGTCCAGATTTGAAGTTTGTGGATGGTGGAAAATGCATCTTTAAAATAAAAGTTCATCTCATGTCAACAGTTTACACAAAGGTAATATACAGGAAACAGAAAACAAACCCTGTTTGTTTTACTTATCGCCTGGGTGATTATTATGATGTATAGAAAACAAAAAGGAATGAGCAAATTTAGTAAACTATTTCCAAAATGAAAAAATATGTTTTCATGATTAAAAATCTAAATTGGAAGATTTGAGATATTACTACTGTTTTTATGGGGGTGGGAGATAAATACAGGTGATAAATAGAACAATTACGGTAAGGCTAGCCTCCTGCTAGAATATGGGAGATAAGTCATCTATCAAACAAAATAATTCACTCTAAAGTTTCTATTGAAAAGAAAATGTAGCATAGAACACATTGGACTGAAAAAATAAAATGTTACCTCCATTTTAGATAAGGCTTTTCACTTTTATAGAGGGAAAAAGAAAGAAAAAAGGCTGGTAATTTAAGATTGACTTTAAATGAGATTGATGAAATGATTTATTAATCTGAGGAAATATACTGTACACTGGGAAACTTTGCCCGGTTAACTTTTGCCCTTAACCCAGGAAATCAATTTTTGCCCATTGTTTACTTTGCTCTTCACATTTAATTACTGTATTTATTATGCTGTTGACTTATATTCGCTGTAATGATAATTACGCCCTTAGTATGGAGGGCGAAAAAGACAAAAATTAAACTGCAGTGAAAATATCACTGTATACAATAATCTTCCAAGGGTTTGATAATATTAAATGTATCCGAGGCATATCATCTCTGATAAATAGGAAAATAGGATTCTCCTTTGAAATATATTTGTGTATGAACTGGTGATGTTGGATGCTATCTTAATCCTCTTTGAACGTCAAAGATCAGTTCAAATTTGTAGCCAAATTAAAAAACAATCAGAATGGTGGTTACATGTTAGTTGTATAATGAATATAATACTTGTTTATTTTCAAGTACAGGATTTATTGAGCTGTGAAGACAAATATTTGATTGCCTGATAAATGTGCCAAATTTACTGTAACTTTTTAACAATATTTCTTTGTAGGACCAACATCTACATAACTTCTTTTACCACTGTCAAAAGATGGAGAACTCCCTATCCTCTGGGGTCGACCACGAAAGTCTCAACAAACTCAAGGTGAGGGTCAGGGAGCAATCTAGGTCACTGTCTTTAAACTAGGTCACAAATATTAAACTAGGTTACAAGGACCCAAGATTTTTCTTCATTTGTTGAGAAAAATATGTACTTCTTTTTGGTTGGTAAATGGGATGTGCATTTTGACCGATTTTAACCTCACTAAGTTCATTATTAATTGTGGTTGTTATATTACAAAATCCTGCATGGGGCCCCATATATAATATAACCTGTTAGGATTAACTGAAATATTGCAGCCTGATTGGCCAGTAATTTACTTATATTCTGTGCAATATTTGCTTTCATGTAAGTTTGCATTAACGTCTAAGAAAATAATTGTATTGTTTCTGATTTTTTTTATGAAAGATTCCAAAGGTATAACTTTTATTTGAAAAATGTATGAATGTATGTTATATAGAGACAGCATTTCAAACGTCAACAGTGCTTGTTATATAGAGACAGCATTTCAAACTTCAACAGTGCTTGTTTAAAATGTACGACAAGGAGATTAGGGTACACACTAAAATGTAGGTAGGGAAAAATGAAAACAGATTTTTATTTTTTTAATATATATATTTAAAAAAACAGAAAATTGGGGCCTAAGTGTCAGATGCAGATTCAAGTCTCACATAAATATAGTTATTCATGCATAATATTAGTAGTAAATGTTGATTGAAACACAAATCATTGTCTATATCAATTAGTACCTAAAGGAATGTTAACTTAAAGTTCAAAGTACACACTGAAACATGCAACAATAACAACTCATTAGGAAATACAAGGGATCAGGTCAAGTTGTCTTTTACACTGTAATTATCCTTCAGACATCAGTAACAGACATCAGTATCAGACATCAGTATCAGACATCAGTAACAGACATCAGTATCAGACATCAGTAACAGCAGCAGTAACAGACATCAGTAACAGACATCAGTAACAGACATCAGTATCAGACATCAATAACAGACATAACAGACATCAGTATCAGACGTCAGTAACAGACATTAGTATCAGACATAACAGACATCAGTAACCGACATCAGTATCAGACATAACAGACATCAGTAACAGACATAAGTAACAGACATCAGTAACAGACATCAGTGTCAGACATCAGTAACAGACATCAGTAACAGACATCAGTAACAGACACCAGTAACAGACATCAGTATCAGACATAACAGACATCATTAACAGACATAAGTAACAGACATCAATAACAGACATCAGTATCAGACATCAATAACAGACATAACAGACATCAGTATCAGACGTCAGTAACAGACATTAGTATCAGACATAACAGACATCAGTACCCGACATCAGAACAAGCAAAACAGACATCAGTAACAGACATAAGTAACAGACATCAATAACAGACATCAGTGTCAGACATCAGTAACAGACATCAGTCACAGACATCAGTAACAGACATCAGTGTCAGACATCAGTAACAGACATCAGTATCAGACATCAGTAACAGACATCAGTAACAGACATCAGTTGTAGTAACAGACATCAGTAACAGATGTCTGAGCTGCATGTATAGAACAAAAAAATCACCGTAATTATCAATTGAGTCTCTGTTATTATTTATCATATTAATGCACTAATGACACCCATTATTAAAAAATGTTCATGTCCTTATAAGGTAAAATTATAATTTTGAATTTGTAAAATGTAATTGGAAAATTTGGGTCCTAGAGTTTTTACTTTAGATAATTGATTGAACAGTAATACTAACAAACTGATTCCCTTATTCACCTCTTGACTAGAAAAAGTGGAGAATTTCAAGAAATGAAAGGTTTAAGGATATTCAAAACCTTGTTAGAGTTTAAAAATTTGATGGTATTAAGGACTTCAAGAACTTTTTATTTCTGTTGACCAAGTTGGCAGATGGATCGGCAAAACTGTCTGGAAAATTGCTGTTTTATTCCAGCAGTATAACATTATATTCACTTTAATTTTAAATGCCTACCATACAATGTGTAGATTGTCTGGCAAACTCGGCGGGAAGTTGAGAGTGAGGATACCTACTTACTAAACCATGTCAAGGTACCGATATGTATTCTAACTATATATACTCGGACAAGGAAAGCAAACATTATTGTTCCTGTTGCTTCAAAGGAAAATTATCTGCTTTACTGAAAGTTTCTGACAATAGGATCAATTTGACGCTGATGGAAAAAAAGGCTGTCAAAATGATATTTTTTTCCCCTGAAGATTCATGGATGTTTGTTTAATTGGAAATTTAATTACTGGTTGAATAAATTGTTGTTTTTTGTTGTAAATGTTCAATTATCTTTTATGTTTTAAATCCAATTTATTTTTGTAAAATGATTTTCGGAAATTTGATTTTGATTTGTAATTTTCTAACAGCATTTCATGTCATGTTTATTAAAAATTATTATAAGGATATATTTATATTGATCAAAAGAGATAATGAAAATTTTCGATGAAAATGTGATTTTAATTAACAGAGGATAATTTGTAAGTCAGATGTGTGTGCTTCAGCTGTGTATTTGTACTAACGATGTGAATTTACATTACAGTGTACTGTGACTGTTTTAAAAACTTTTTTCTTTAAGTGATCTATTTGAAAAACCTGTTCTCTAGAATCTCATTTCTTAACTTCATATATTCCTTGAAGAATCTGAAGAAACCAAATATTACAATGTTAGATGACTGTAAAGTGTTTAATAATTTACTGCTAGCATAATTCAGTGATTTTGCAATGAATAAAAAGAGATTTTGTAAGCTGGATTTTAATTGGCTATACCATGTAGGTCAGAGGGGAGTCATCTCTAAGATAAAAGACAATAATTCTGTGTGCTGTAGTGAACAGGGTTGTGTAAACACTGATTATGATTTTGACTGGCATGTCATTTGATAAAACATAATTTTGTGAAAGTAAGCTGTGTTGAATTTAAAAGCTAACTGCTTAGAACTTTTTGAACTCTGTATGTTGACCTTTGACCTGTCTGTATATGTTTATTTTGACCTTTGACCTGTATATATGTAGATGATCTGCAAGCCAGCAAAGGACCTTGAGGAAACCTTCTTATTAAACTCAGTTAAGGTATTCGTTGGGAGGGTTTCCAGGGGGGAGACACATCCCGTTCACCCCCCGTCACTGGACCCAAATACAATCCTCATTCCACACCTCCTTCACACACTGTATGGAATCGCAGTAGATATTTTAAAGACTGGTCAAATATAAAAAAGAAAAGAAAAAAGCAATTCTAATGATAAATTGATGTTTCATTTAGATGTATGTGTTCTTTTGAATACATATACCATAATACAGAATATACTTGTATTTATGATTGATATCAATTTTGCTTTTTCATTTTTCATATTAGTCCTTTTTCATTTTAAAATTTTAAAAGTAGTTGAAATTTGTTTGGGTTTGGTATTGCTTTTGTGCACATTTTTGAGTAGAATTCCAATAACAAAAATCACAAATTTTCTCAAAATCTTTTTTTGAACATTTTCTCTCTTATTTCACAAATGGCACTCTGTAGAATGATAACACGGATGAACCCTTCCTCAGTTCACAACCAATGAACCCCCACCCCATCCACTAGTGTCTCCCCCTTTGACACCCTTACATGTTTGGACTGCCTTCCAGAATTAGCTTACACTTATAATTCCTTTGTCGTGTGTCATGTTGGTATTTTAATGTCTGATATGTCGGTGATCATCAATGTTTTTCTACATTTACAACTGTACTGATAGTATATTGGAATATATATATAAAAAAAAAAACTGTTTTAAAATATAAGAAAAATATTCAGTTTGTGATTATGGAAGCTAACAAAGCTTTAACAGCTGAATATAACTGTTTGAGACTGAGGCCATGTTTTTAGAGCATTGTTAGCTTAACACAAAACTTTTTAATAGATATTTGTATTTATCATTCAATCAAGATATTTAATGATTTGAAGAAGATTTATTGAGGTATTACGTCAGTTTTGAAACACACCTATTTTATATTTTTAACCCAATGGAAATGAAGGAAACATTGGTGATTTCGTGACCACTTACTAACACACAATAATTCTGTAATGTACTGATTATATACGGATTGTTGTCGACATTCTGTGTCAGTTTTATTGTCAATATCTGTATAATATATAAAATCTAATATTCAGGAGTTACGAAAAAGTATTTATATTTATAAGTGTATTTTAAACCGATATTTATGAAGTATAATTTTATTACATATGATATTCAATGAGAAATCATTGAAATCTTCAATATAATATTGACTGTATCATCCTAAAACTCTAGAGAATGTATAGTTTAGTTGGTATTGTTGGTTACACTATACATGAGCTGGTTTTACTATATAGGTCATTGTGATATTATATGTGACCTAGTTTTGCTATATAGGTCACAGTGTGTGCGTTTTGTTGTCTATACTGTATACATAGAACATACTTCTCAAGTCTCCCGAGTTTGGATGGAGCTCTATTTTCGAGTTTTTTTATAAATAGTTTCCTCTATGTCGTCCATAGAACGGCTATACATATGGCAGTTCATGATATCATTTTGTCAAATAGGGGCCATTGTTCGTACACTTTAAAATTGTCCTCCATGGACAATTTCACATGGTTGTCAAGTTGGCATGAATCGGTTCATTCTCATTGTTGTTTTGTACTGAACAAAGAAAGGAAGAAAGAAGAAAGAAAGAAGCGGCTTTCATTCTCATAGTTGTTTTGTACTGAACAAAGAAAGGAAGAAAGAAGAAAGAAAGAAGCGGCTTTCATTCCTTCTCCACCTTACACATTTTGTGGACATAATGGCTTCCTAACTTCTGGTCTTTGACTAGGTTCAAATCAAGGATTTACATGAAGCTATAGCACGTATTTACTAACAAAATGGGAGAGGATTTTTGTTATGGTTGGGAGTGAGACGGTCTGGATGTGGTGAAGGGAAACACAGCTTGCTGCGATGTTCGAATTAGACTAGGTCGATCCTCGTCAACCAGGTAGCTCAATTGGTAGAGTGTCTGCCTAGAGTTCAGAGGGTCCTGGGTTCAAATCCAAGTCTGGCCCTACATTACCCCCTGCTTCTGTTATAAAATTGGTGAGCTTGCCAACCCTGGTTTCAAGTGCTGGGTGAATGCATGGCAAGGCAATACCCAAACGTTTCTGAGTGGTACATAGTTGTGTCTTCGGGGGCAGTTTTTATTGACGAACTGTTTTAAACTATTACATGGATTTCAGAGACTCTTCTTTTAATTGAAATAATTTTTGTATGTGCAAATAGTAGATTTCAGATCAATAATATAATGAGTACAACCACAGTTACGCTACAGACAAGGACTTACTAACAAAATGGCAGAGGATTTTTGTTATGGTTGGGAGTGAGACGGTCTGGATGTGGTGAAGGGAAACACAGCTTGCTGCGATGTTTCGACCTCTTTTTTTGAAACACTGGCATGATAAAAGCAGGTGGACATTTTCCTAGATGAACAGCACTTTTTTTTTTTAATTCCGTCCGAGTTTGGCAGACTTTAGTTAACCTTACATGTAGTAGCCACATCGTTCTACGATTAGACATTTTTAGTGTTCTACTGTAAGTGTTGTTTTCATGTTAGGAAATGTCTTCTGTCGTTTTTTGTTAAGAGGAGTTTTGCCATTAGACAGCAAAGGTATAGACAGCATTTTGTCATACTATTAAACTTTTTGGTTGCAATGAAATTTCTTATGTTTGATGATGATGATGTAATTTTGCTTTGAGATATTTTTTTGAGCCCAGAATAGGATAGCCATACCCTTTAGGACAAATATAAAAAGTACAAAAGCTTTCTGATAGATCCTCTGGGTCTATTCTATGAAAAATATACATTTTTAAGCAGATATTTGTATTATTATCAATTATTTATGTATCATACTCCTATTTACACGAGAAAAAGAAAGTTCTAACATAAAAAAATGGTGACCGTCTGTGTGGGAATATTTCCAACTTAAATCCACATGTAGCCCAACGGCTTTGATATTGTCATAATCTAGCATGGATGAACAAGAGCAGTATAACAATTGGTCAGTTATCAGAGGAGGTGGTCAGCCTGTACTTACACATTATATGATTGGATGTTATCGCTTTTGACCACTCCCTCTTCCTGTCATCATCGAAAACCCTCAAATAATTTCCTTTCATGTTTACTGCTTTCATAAACAAAAAGATTTGGTGGCTGACATCAACGGGTGTTCAATGATGTTTCCAATTCAGATGTATACTGTCTTCAGGCATTAAGAGATATTACTGACTTTATTGGATTTTTCAAAGTAGTTCAGATTGGGAATGAAACAACCGACACATTTTAAAATTCTTACATCATGTTTATCACTGAATAGTCCCAGATGAAAATAAGAAATACTATTTTTTACAATTGAAAAATGAATAAAATAGATCAGTATATGTTAATTATAGCCATTTTCCTTGTACAAACACAGTACTTTTGTTGATGTCATGTACTTAATTTTACTACTTTTGGAGGATTTTTAGCAAACAGCTATTTTTTTGTTTTTGTTTTTTTGGCATTTTGCAGGGACAACTTGATAATCATGGGAATTTGATGCAAGAATTAAGTAGAAAAAATTGTTTGAATTTTTCATTCCTTAAATTTCAAAAGTTGAGAAGTCATGTTTAATGAGATTGACAATAGTTAATATTGAGTGAAAATATAATTACTGTTGTTTTATGTGGTATGTATCCTTAGTCATACATACATACTGTAAATCGCACTGTTTCGGTGAGATTTAAATTTCCGTGCTAATTCAGTTCAGATCATCATGAATATCATAACCTTGAAAATACTCACCACAATTTATTTTTCAATCTTTTCACTCTCACAGTGTTTTAACCATCTATCATGAGGGTGAACAAATCTTTCTGAAGTAGTATTTTCATTCTGCAATTTACAGTTAAATCATCTTAAGTATGAAAGCGAAAATAAAATTTCACAAAAATGAAGTGATTTACATAATAATGCTTGCCATTTTAGGAAAAAAATATACCCAGTGATATGATACTCCTATAGATATCATTTCATTTCTTTAGACTGTATCTATGTAGTGTACTGATAATTGTAAGAGTATAGGAAATAATTTCATTAAATATTTGGATGGTAAGACATTGTTGGAGAAATCAAAAGAAAAAGCCAGCAGAAATATCAATGTATGACATTTTCAATGACAATTTTGTAAATACACAATTGTGCTAAAACATACATGTGTGTGAATGTTTGTACTTATTGTTTCAGAGAGAACCTGCCTCTTCCATTGTAAATTTGTAGATGGGGGAACTTTATATCTAGACCCTCAAATGAGGTTCTACTGTAGAGAGCTACCAAATTATGTGTTTCTATGACGATTTTGTTTGTTTATTAATTTGTAATTAATCTAACACATTAACACATTGAGTTTGCCTGTTTCAGTCCCTTCATGCCTCCGATGTCAGCACCTACGTTAAGTTCCTGCCAACCATTCTAAACCAGCTGTTCTCCCTCCTGTCAAAGACAGAGTGTGAGGACGTAGCGGTCAACGCGGTCAAGTGAGTTATACCCTGGTCACTAGTGGTCATTAAACACTAAAAAAAAGGACATTAGCAAATATTTTATGAAAATATCACTGTGCCCTGTACTCCAAAACAGCTGAATGTATCTTGTAATAATATTACTTTTCTCTATACATCATCATAACCTTTTTTTTTCCAAAGCAATGGGGAAAAAAAATCAATTTTACATGAAATGTACTGAAGTCCAGAAGTTTTAATTTAGATTGCTATTCAGCTAAAGTATCCCTTAAATAAAAAAAAACCCATCAATATAAAAGAAACTCACAAATATCTATACATAAATGTATGAAACTAATTGCCTCGTACAGTTCCATAATATAACTGCTCTTCCTTGATGTCACAAACTGGACCCCTCGGCCATTGGAGGTTTCCTAACCCATTGCCTTACAAGTCATGACCGGTTGGAGGATTGTGTCCAGCTTATCTTGTCTCATTTACAGTGTTTTTCTCCTGGAGGGAGGGGGTGTTGTGTGAATCTCAACATTCTTCCTATATCACAACATCCATGTCCCCCCCCCCCCCCCCCCCCCCCTCTTTTATTCAATCCTGATGAAAACACTGATTTATACCAAAGCAAGTATGACACACTAACTGGCATCCTCTTTTGATTTCTAGCAATATTTTAAGTTTTCATTTTGTAATTTAATATGTATATTGAGTTCAAAACATTGCTTTCCAATTTCAGAGTGCTGGTACATATTGTGTCAGAAGTGAATGCTGCAGAAAGAATCAAGGCACTGAGAAATTATGTCAAAGTAAGTCCTCAGAGAATGTAGACAGATTAACAGAAAGGATTTGTAATAGAGAAATACTTGTAGGGGAATATTGTAAGTTATCATGTGTTGTGTGACCAGATATGATATTAATCTGGTTTGTAGGGTTTGTGAGTGGAATTTATTGTTTCCACTTTGCATTCATATTGACTCGGAATGCCACCTAGTGAACTTCACTATGTAGACAGATTAACAGGAAGGATTTGTAATAGAGAAATACTTGTATGGGAATATTCCTAGCTATTGTGTGTTTTATGACTAGATATGATATAAATCTGGTTTGTAGGGTTTGTGAGTAGATTTGTCATTTCCACTTTGCATTCATATTGACAATGAATGCCACCTGAACTTAATTTAGTGCTTAAGGATTCTTGAACCACTGCCAAAAGCTTTAACTATATTTTGGAAAACATGTTTTGGCATGACTGTTAGCTTTGATAAATCTTTTCCGGAAAAAAAATAATACCTTGCAGATCTTTGATAAAAAAACACACTAATATGACAGAAAAGGAAAAACATCCACAGCAGTGGTCTGAATTTAAAAGTGCTGTGTGCAAGAGCAGGATTTGAAATCTGGACCTCTGATCGTTTTATACTGGCTCCAACAAACTGAGCTACATTTGTTCTGGTCAATGGAATAACCTGATCCCGTGGTCAATGGAGACACCTGACCCCGTGGTGAATGGAGTCATATGATCCTGAGGTCAATGGAGTCACCTGACCCCATGGTCAATGGAATCACCTGACCCGGTGGTCAATGGAGTCACCTGACCCCATGGTCAATGGAATCACCTGACCCCGTGGTCAATGGAGTCACCTGACCCATTGGTCAATGGAGTCATCTGATCCAGTGGTCAATGGAGTCACCTGACCCCGTGGTCAATGGAGTCACCTGACCCCATGGTCAATGGAGTCACCTGATCCCGTGGTCAATGGAGTCACCTGATCCCGTGGTCAATGGTGTCACCTGACCCCGTGGTCAATGGTGTCACCTGATCCCGTGGTCAATGGTGTCATCTGACCCTGTGGTCAATGGAGTCACCTGATCCAGTGGTCAATGGAGTCACCTGACCCCATGGTCAATGGAGTCACCTGACCCCGTGGTCAATGGAGTCACCTGACCCCGTGGTCAATGGAGTCACCTGACCCCGTGGTCAATGGAGTCACCTGACCCCGTGGTCAATGGAGTCACCTGACTCAGTGGAGTTCTCTAGTGTTCTGCTTACAATGGGACATAAATCCTCAAATGAAATAGTTTACTAGCTATGGAATTTTGTCATTCGTAATGTAAAAATTGACACTTGTCCATAAGATAATTGATGGTATGACTGCATTGTTCTCCTGTAGGATGTATATAGATAAAAAAATGTTTACCCTTCATGATTTTAACTCCTTTAACCTTACGTTAACACTGAACTCTTCCTGCAGTATGTGTTCAAACCTGGGCGTGTCCCGCGGGGAAGTAAACAGCGGACCGTCCACGAAGAACTGGCCAAGCACTTAACCCAGATCCTCCAGCCATCCATGGCTGACCACTTAGTGGTCACCAAGTTCCTGCAACATTCATGGTTCTTCTTCGAAACCCTCATCAAGAGCATGACTATGTACCTCATAGACCTGGACAGAATCAAGGTATGTATACCTAATCAAGGCATGATTGCACTAATCACTCATCTTTTGAAAGACATCCTCCAGGTCAATATCCTGTATTTCATAGACAAACAAAATAAAGGTATATTATAAAAACCTCCTCAAAGTCATGACCCTTTATCTCATAGACTGACAAAATCAAGGTATGTTACTCAAGGTCATGACCTTGTGTCTCCTAGACTGACAAAATCAAGGTTTGTTACTCAAGGCCATGACCCTGTGTCTCATAGACTGACAAAATCAAGGTATGTTAATCAAGGTCATGACCCGGTGTCTCCTAGACTGACAAAATCAAGGTATGTTACTCAAGATCATGACCCTGTGTCTCCTAGACTGACAAAACCAAGGTATGTTACTCAAGGTCATGACCCTGTGTCTCCTAGACTGACAAAACCAAGGTATGTTACTCAAGGTCATGACCCTGTGTCTCATAGACTGACAAAATCAAGGTATGTTACTCAAGGTCATGACCCTGTGTCTCCTAGACTGACAAAATCAAGGTATGTTATAAAAACCTCCTCAAGGTCATGACCCTTTATCTCATAGACTGACAAAATCAAGGTACATTATAAAAACCTCCTCAAGGTCATGACCCTTCATCTCATAGACTGACAAAATTAACCTATGTTGCAAAACCTAATCAAGGCATGATTGCATAAATGACTCTTTATTGAACATAATTTATCCCTGTAGGCATGTGATTGATACCGTGAGAATAATTTTCCCTTTGTGAGCAGAAAATCCCCTGATAAATGTTAATTTCCTATTATGATTAAAATGGGGGAATTGTAAATCACTGTGTATCACTGTACATTCCCTATTATCAGGAACTATTATTGGCAATATCATATACATGTATAAGCGGAGGATTTCTTTTAAAAGTGTGTGGACCTTCGCATCTTTATTTCTGTAGATGCCGAGAAATGAGCGGTTCACTAGTGACTACCAGTTTCGTATCGAACGACTTCTACAGACCTTGGCACCGAACATCATACAGAAACATCGAGAGATGCCGCGGGAAACAAAAAGTGCCAACCTCAGTCTGGCCAACTTTGTCAAGGTATGAATACACAGCTTTTACCTACAACCCTGCTAAATTCTACGAAACTTTCTTAGAGACCTGGTTAATCTTAGTCAGTTTTAGTTCCATACCATTGTTCTGATTTAATATTTTGAAAATCCTTTTAAAAAGATTGAATACATCTTTATAGTATTAGTAGAAATAAAGTTTGCTGAAGGAAATGAAAAATAAATCATAAAATGATCAATGAAAAATTGTGATTACCGGTAAAGGATGTATTCTACAAAATTAACTTAACACATTATGCCTGTAAAATACGGAATGTTTTTTTCTCAGAGTACTGAACTACCATGCAATTCGCTGTATTTATCAATTGGCGATGTAATGTCGTAAAAACCTGAAAATTTGGCTTACTGTAGATTTTATTTATCTGATTTTATTGTCTACTATGAATTTAAATTACAACTTCTTGTAATGGTAAAATAGACAATGCAATTATTATGCAGAATTTTATCAGTTGATTGCTGCAAGTATATTTCAAAATATTACCGAAAAATCATAAAAAAATTGCAATAAATGGTCGCAACCTTGGACTGGTCTTGGATTGTTTCCATGTATAGTGAGCACCCATATCATAATATTATCATTTTCCCTAAAAGAAAGTGTGAAATATACACAAATATTTACGGTATCTCATCCCCTTACCCCATCCCACTATCCTCTTAAAAGTTCACAAAGATTTCTTTAGAAATTAAGATTATTTTTTAATTGCAGATGTGTTTTACACTGATGGACCGAGGGTTTGTGTTCCGACTGATCAGCAGCTATCTAGAGAACTTCGGACCTGGAGATTCCAAGGTAAGGACAGAGGTCAATTCGGTCGTATGTTTCGGAGTCCACTACAGACAATGTCTCTTCCCCGATCAGACGTGAAAAAGTTGGGGTCAGCCGCCCGACCACGTGGGTTTTCTCTGGGTACTCCGGTTTCCTCCCACACTAAGACCCCGTGAGCTAACATCCGGGCCAACAAGAGTGATTAATATAAGTTGATTAATAATAATTTGTGTTAGAGTTGTCTCCCTTGAAAACTAATGATATATAAGAGTTACATGAATGTTAAAAAAGCATGTATTTTTGGGCAACCGATGTCATAAATCAATTAACCATATCCAAATTACATTGAAAAAAACCCATATCATTAATAAGAAAATGTTAATTGTTTGTCAGATTTCTGTGTTTTCTGAATTTAAGTTAACCTGATTTTCCCTTTTTATAGACGCTGCAGGAATGTAAATTTGACTTCCTGCGGACAGTGTGCAGCCACGAACACTACATCCCATTGTCTCTTCCTCTCATGAGGAAAGGAATGATTAAGACATTCAAAGGTGAGTAGCCTCCCTTCACGGATCACTCTTCTACATTAACTTAAATGACAACTAATGTAACAAATTAATTTGAACCTAGCGTTCCTTTAAAGCTGTGTGGAAAATTTTAGATGCTTTTGCAATCTTTCCTGAGCATTTTTTTTCTTCAAAATCAGCTTGTTTATTATGTTAATAGTTGGCTGCTGTCAATTTCAGTTAAATTCATGAGGAATGCTTTTATTAATGAAATAAATGCACATTTAACAATATTTTTACTTGTTACACTTATAAATTCCTTAATTTAATACTTTCAGTTTAATCATTGTTAAGATACTGTTATAATGGAGTTATGTCCCTTGATCCTTTATTCCTAGGTTGCACAACACTAAATCAATGAGATTTACAGCAAAAAGTAATTCTTTAGTAAAATATATTTTGTGTATTCAATGAACATAGAGTTATGTCCCTTTATATGTCATAGTAAATATACTCAATTTGTGGTACATGTATTCTCAAATATGTTGGCTTGTTTTCTTCACATATTTAATAGTTTCTTCTGGTTTTGTAACTGGTTCTTTAACTGAAATTTGCCAAAATCTAAATATTATTTCAATATTGAATGTTGATGGTTTGGGGAAATTTGCAGTCTGCATGCCTGACACAATATAACGTGATTATTGTCATTTGATAAATATAATTTCTATATTGGTGTTATTACATGTATTTCACACTATAATTAAAAACACTATAAAATTTGCCTGGGTGAAGAATTTATTTATTTATCAATATTGATTATTATATATTGATTACATTTATACACATCAATTATACTGATCAAGTATTTGCATGGTATAGAAATTCATCTGCTACCCAAGGTTGATTTTCTCTGCTTTTCTTCTTGATGGATGAAGATAAGAATGGAAGTCATCCTTAGGTATCTGATATAGAGATATGAAATCAATTTTATCTTCTAATGGCCAAATATTTATAAATTACACTGCATTTTAGCATTGACAATACTGGTTATATATATCACTGCTTTCAATCTTTAACACTTTAATCTCAAATCCTGATGCTGAGTATCTCTGATCAAAATCACTTTCTGATAATTTGGTAGTGTTTCAACTCTTGTAGACAATAAATTTGCTGACGGTTAAGTTCTCTTTGTTTTAGTGTCATGTTAAATCCTCTCTAAAAGAGTTACCTCCCCTTAAAACTCCCCCTTTAAAGAATTATTTTCCCTTTAAATATAACTGTAATGAAATCTATGAATTTACACACCATATTAAAAAAAAAAGTTTCATAGGTTTATTATGTCTAGTCCTTTTTTCTTAAATATTTTTCACGACTAGACATAGAGATATGACAAGCATTCTGTACCTAGAGTAAATACAAATAAAAATGGTGATAATTCCTTCAGTTTAATTCATACTTTAGGAAAAAATACATTTAAGTTTGATTTACAAAATTTGACAATGAAATCATTTATACATTTCTAATATCATGAAATTCAACATAAAATGATCATTCATGTAAATTACAATGCAGGGGGAAATATGTGAGTCTTAATTCGTACATTTTACAATGTACCGACATTAAATAAAAAGCGTTTGACTTTGAAAATAGTATAAAAGTTAAATGCAACATTTCTCAAAATAACTGTAAAAAAATCTTTTTGATAGACTTTTTGTTCCTTTCAGCAGAAATGATTTTACTCATTTTAATTAAGAAATTAAGGAAAATGATCAAAACCTGTGTCACGTTCAGCTAAATATTATACGACACATGTTTTATTTGGTTTATTCCATGCCTATCCACAGACATCAAACTGGAAGGTAAACCGCTCACTTTAAACTATTTCTGTAGATCAGCAAATTGTGGCAATACTCTGTTGCATGGAGTGGTTTGAATCAAGCACTGTTTTTGATATAAATGTGTTGATTTTCTATGCTTGTGTGGATGATACTTGCATTTTAGTGATATTTTCTTTTGATGCTTTTTAGAATCTAATTTTAATGCTTCAACGCGTTTCAATATATGATATATGAATTTGTGTATTTAGAGTTTTCTTTTCTTTGCTTGAAATTTTAATACCTGCGAATGCCTTTCATCCTGTGATACACCGGTTTTCCCTTGGTAACCATTGTTCCCTTCGTAACCATTGTTCCCTTAGTTGGTTGGGCAACAGTGTTCCATTTAGTACCCTGTTCCTATGGTAACCACTTTTGTCTTTGTATAATGTTTCCATTGCTTCCAAGAATGTTTCCTAGGTAATCCCTTACCCCTTGGTATCTCCGTGTAATGTTGGAAACCCCAGTTTCTTTGGTTACTCTAATTTTTTGTCGAATAACTGCTTCCAATTTTTTTTATTTTTTTCATAAAGTTTTTTTAGGTCACCTGAGCTTTAGCTCAAGTGACCTATTGCTATCCGTTTTCGTCCGTCGTCGTCCGTCGTCCGTCTTCCGTCGTCCGTCGTCCGTTAACATTTTACATTTCAAACTTAAAGTCAAGTTCTGCTGGGCCGATTGAACTAAAAGTTGGTAGGAATGATCGCCTCATGGTCCTGACAAAGTGTTGTTATTTTTCGGGTCGATCAGAAATCCAATATGGCCGCCACGGCCGCCATTTTGAAAACCTATTTCAAACTTAAAGTCAAGTTCTGCTGGACCGATTGAACTGAAAGTTGGTAGGAATGATCGCCTCATGGTCCTGACAAAGTGTTGTTATTTTTTGGGTCGATCAGAAATCCAATATGGCCGCCACGGCCGCCATTTTGAAAACCTATTTCAAACTTAAAGTCAAGTTCTGCTGGACCGATTGAACTTAAAGTTTGTAGGAATGATCGACTCATGGTCCTGACAAAGTGTTGTTATTTTTCAGGTCAATCATAAATCCAATATGGCCGCCACGGCCACCATTTTGAAAACATATTTCAAACTTAAAGTCAAGTTCTGCTAGGCCGATTGAACTGAAACTTTGTAGGAATGATTGACTCATGGTCCTGACAAAGTGTTGTTATTTTTCGGGTCGATCAGAAATCCAATATGGCCACCACGGCTGCCATTTTGGTAAACTATTTCAAACTTAAAGTAAAGATCTACTTGGCCGATTGAACTGAAACTTTGTAGGAATGATCGAATCATGGTCCTGACAAAGTGTTGTTATTTTTCGGGTCAATCAGAAATACAATTTGGCTGCCATGGCCGCTATTTTGCTACTAAGTTCTAATAGGCCGATCTCACTTAAAATTGGTCTAGGAATGATCAGCTCATGGTCCTGACAAAGTTAAGTTAACATTATACTATTTTTTACTCAAATTGGTACATATTTCAACAACAAAAATAAATACTGTAGACTCAGGTGACCGTTAAGGCCCATGGGCCTCTTGTTTTGTTCTTTAAAGATTTTGGATGATGAAATGTACATTTTTTCATCTGGTCCATGGTTCTTCCATTCGTAGGCGGTGATTCACTGATGATGTCCTGGTAGAATACCAATAAGATAATCGGACACATATGTTATAATGTATTTGTGTTTTTACACTAGTACTGGGGTACTAGTACTATAGCGGGCGTAACTTTTCCGGTGACCAAGCAGCACGAATGTTGAATAAATGAGTTAGTATCGATGTTAGATATTTAGCTTCATGCAAAAACCTTTTTTGGGGCAGATTTAAAAAAAAAAATACCCCTAGAAAACATCTGTAATAATGTGATCCTTATATTAAATTCTTCATTCCTTTAAGAGAATAGGTTGAAATGAAACCCTAGATAATTCTAACAGATTGTATGGTCCTCAATGTTCTATATATTTGACATGCACATTTTCTTATAAATTCAATTCTATAAACCTATTGCCCCTGACACAGCCATTGCGGCGTTCACTCGTTACTAACAATCATCATAATATCCTCACCCCTCGACGTAACATCTCGTTCTTTCGTTCAGTCAGTTCAGTTGTTTTTATTTCAGATCTAGATTCCATTTTCCTCACTCATGAGCTGGGTCTTGGTAAAATATTGTTTTGATATTTGAAGTTTGTTTTCATTCAATTTTTGTCTCAGTGTCTTTTAACTCATTCCCCCCTGAAGGCACATTTGAACTCTTCTAATTCAAAGATTGGAATAGTCCATTATGAAATTTCAGGGGTGAATGAGTAAAACAGGCATAGCCCTACAATGTCACCGTAGGATTGCTTCATTTCTGACTCACCAACTTTCAGACGATCTTACTCGGATCCACAAATATATACACAGGTTATAATCACCAACTAAATCAATTATTGTCACATACATTTAGTTCTTCTATTATCTGATTAATTGAAAGAAATCTTATTATTGTTATGTAAAAAGTGGACTTAGTCCCCTTTATAAGTCTTGGCCATATTGGAATGTTTCTGCACGCTGTATAGGTATTGCCTTTGTGTATCTTGTATGTACTGTTTGTATACAGAGGAGCCTCAGTAATCCAGTCCCTTCATTCTGGCAAGTCACTAACGCATGGACTGGATGTAAAACATAAGATTAATTATAGCTGGATTACTGACTCAATGACCGGATATAGCAACATCTGGATTAATTATAGCTGGATTACTGACATAGTGACTGGATATAACAACATCTGGATTAATTATAACTGGATTACTGACACAGTGACTGGATATAGCAACATCTGGATTAATTATAACTGGATTACTGACACAGTGACTGGATATAGCAACATCTGGATTAATTATAACTGGATTACTGACACAGTGACTGGATATAGCAACACCTGGATAAATTATAGCTGGATTACTGACACAGTGACTGGATATAACAACATCTGGATTAATTATAGGTGGATTACTGACACAGTGAATGGATATAGCAACATCTGGATTAATTATAGCTGGATTATTGACACAGTGACTGGATATAGCAACATCTGGATTAATTATAACTGGATTACTGACACAGTGACTGGATATAGCAACATCTGGATTAATTATAACTGGATTACTGACACAGTGACTGGATATAGCAACACCTGGATTAATTATAGCTGGATTACTGAAACAGTGACTGGATATAGCAACATCTGGATTAATTATAGCTGGATTACTGACACAGTGACTGGATATAACAACATCTGGATTAATTATAGCTGGAATACTGACAAAGTGACTGGATATAACAACATCTGGATTAATTATAACTGGATTACTGACACAGTGACTGGATATAGCAACATCTGGATTAATTATAGCTGGATTACTGACACAGTGACTGGATATAGCAACATCTGGATTAATTATAGCTGGATTACTGACACAGTGACTGGATATAGCAACATTTGGATTAATTATAGCTGAATTACTGACACAGTGACTGGATATAGCAACATCTGGATTAATTATAGGTGGATTACTGTCACAATGACTGGATATAGCAACATCTGGATTGTTTATATGTGGATTACTGACACAGTGGCTGGATATAAGAACACACCTATTAATTATAGCTGGATTACTGACACAGTGACTGGATATAACAACATCTGGATTAATTATAGTTGGATTACTGACACAGTGACTGGATATAACAACATCTAGATTAATTATAGCTGGAATACTGACAAAGTGACGGGATATAGCAACATCTGGATTAATTATAGCTGAATTACTGACACAGTGACTGGATATAGCAACACCTGGATAAATTATAGCTGGATTACTGACACAGTGACTGGATATAACAACATCTGGATTAATTATAGCTGGAATACTGACAAAGTGACTGGATATAGCAACATCTGGATTAATTATAGCTGGACTACTGACACAGTGACTGGATATAGCAACATCTGGATTGTTTATAGGTGGATTACTGACACAGTGACTGGATATAAGAACACACCTATTAATTATAGCTGGAATACTGACACAGTGACCAGATATAAGAACACAACTATTAATTATAGCTGGATTACTGACACAGTGACCAGATTTAAGAACACACCTATTAATTATAGCTGGATTACTGAGACAGTGACCAGATATAAGAACACACTTATTAATTATAGCTGGATTACTGACACAGTCACCAGATATAAGAACACACCTATTAATTATAGCTGTATTACTGACACAGTGACCAGATATAAGAACACTCCTATTAATTATAGCTGGATTACTGACACAGAGACCAGATATAAGAACACACCTATTAATTATAGCTGTATTACTGACACAGTGACCAGATATAAGAACACTCCTATTAATTATAGCTGGATTACTGACACAGTGGCCAGATATAATAACACACCTATTAATTATAGCTGGATTACTGAGACAGTGACCAGATATAAGAACACACTTATTAATTATAGCTGGATTACTGACACAGTCACCAGATATAAGAACACACCTATTAATTATAGCTGTATTACTGACACAGTGACCAGATATAAGAACACTCCTATTAATTATAGCTGGATTACTGACACAGTGGCCAGATATAATAACACACCTATTAATTATAGCTGGATTACTGAGACAGTGACCAGATATAAGAACACACCTATTAATTATAGCTGGTATACTGACACAGTGACCAGATATAAGAACACCCCTATTAATTATAGCTGGAATACTGACACAGTGACCAGATATAAGAACACAACTATTAATTATAGCTGGATTACTGACACAGTGGCCAGATATAATAACACACCTATTAATTATAGCTGGATTACTGAGACAGTGACCAGATATAAGAACACACCTATTAACTATAGCTGGATTACTGACACAGTGACCAGATATAAGGGATTAATTATAGCTGGATTACTGACACATTGACTGGATATAACAACATCTGGATTAATTATAGGTGGATTACTGACACAATGACTGGATATAGCAACATCTGGATTGTTTATATGTGGATTACTGACACAGTGGCTGGATATAAGAACACACCTATTAATTATAGCTGGTATACTGACACAGTGACCAGATATAAGAACACCCCTATTAATTATAGCTGGAATACTGACACAGTGACCAGATATAAGAACACACCTATTCATTATAGCTGGATTACTGACACAGTGACCAGACATAAGAACACACCTATTAATTATAGCTGGATTAATGACACAGTGAACAGATATAAGAACACACCTATTAATTATAGCTGGTATACTGACACAGTGACCAGATATAAGAACACCCCTATTAATTATAGCTGGAATACTGACACAGTGACCAGATATAAGAACACACCTATTCATTATAGCTGGATTACTGACACAGTGACCAGACATAAGAACACACCTATTAATTATAGCTGGATTACTGACGCAGTGACCAGATATAAGAACACACCTATTAATTATAGCTGTATTACTGACACAGTGACCAGATATAAGAACACACCTATTCATTATAGCTGGATTACTGACACAGTGACCAGACATAAGAACACACCTATTAATTATAGCTGGATTAATGACACAGTGAACAGATATAAGAACACACCTATTAATTATAGCTGGATTACTGAGACTCCGCTGTATTATCAATGTTAGGGGTATACAATAAACACAGGCAAACTTTGAAAAATTCCACTAGACCTGCCTTACATTTCAATAAGAATTATTGAACAATTTCTTCTGTCCAGTACATAAAATGTATTAGCTCGAGGCATTGAGCTAGTGGAATTGTATACCTCTGCAATTTTAATTGATAACTATATGACAAATTATATTATTTGACATTCTTTTTCAGCTATTGTTTATTCCATGTACTAAAATGCAACAAAATTAGGAAATTTAAATTTTAAGTTTAACTCAATATCTCTGATTTTTTTTTCAGTGTTGAAATGCAATCTGACTCTATACAGCAAGTTTAATGTTTTTGTTTATTTTTTTTCTGAATTAATTTTAAGCTAATGTGGGTTAAATTGGTATTGATTGCAAATGTGCTGACAGTTACAGTAATTCTGTTATTTATAACCCATGTATGATCAGGGAGAGCTTATTGTACTAAGATAACTTCTCTACATGTGAAACAGACTTGATGGAGTATATCCCTTTCACCCCTAGGTAACTTTAGTAGACTCTTCCATGCATTTATGGGGATGAGTCCATTATGGTCTACGGTGGTGAAAGGGTTAATGCAGGAAATTTTTGTACAGCATAACTTTGGTCCTTGTCACCCTCCGTAGTAAGGGCAGATTTATCGTGACAGAGAATATCAGTAACAGCGCGACATGTATAGTAATCACAAGTAAATGGTAAAATGGACACTTACGCAATATGGATTTTACCGACGAAAGACGAAAAGTTTGGCTTGGCAAAAGTTTCCTTTTATACAGTAATCAAGCATCAGTCTTGCATGTGAAGCAATTTTGTTTAAACTTTTAACAATCCAACAAACAACTGAATAATATCTAATTTCCTCTAAGAAATATATTTAATTAGGCCATACAATCAAATTAATTCTAACTGAAAATTACAATTAGGTGCTAAATTCAGGTAAACAAGGTTAATTACTAAGTATCCAATCAAATTCAATTTTATGAAATATGTACAAAGGTCAAATGTCAAAATGTTAGTAATTTCAGGTGAAATCTTTGAGTTTTAGGCTTTCTAATGCATGCCATACTAAAATTGTTATTGGATTTAAGACAATGATTTTTAATTATTTCATTTATTTAAAGAAAACAATTTGTTGACATAAATTTGCTAAGATTACTACAAATTTACTAATCAAAGGACATGCAAGCTGAATGTCTGTAACTTTTCTGTATGGATTGTTGGTCGGGCCAATTAGGTAGGAAATTGAAATATAGTTTTTTTTTAACAAATGTGAAGGTGCAATGATGTCCTGAGTTCCAGTTTTTGGGGATTAACTTGAATGTTTTTGTTGGTTATGGAGCAAAATGTGACCGGAGTTGTTTGACAATTACCTCGTACTTATTTCGGAAAAAAAAGTTTTAACTCCCTAAACAGATCCACAGCCAATAATTGTCTTTTTATGATGATAAAGAAATGAACACAAAATTAAAAGGAAAAAGGTTTTCAATACCCGTATAAAGTAGAGAAAGTGTTGAGCACACTACCTTTACTTATTCACCCCTACATTTTTAAACTGGAATTGTCCATGCTTTGATTTGGTAAGGTTCAAATGTGACTTTAGGGGTGAATAGGTTAACAATTTCTGATTGGCACACTAATCATGTCTAGACTCTGTATAAAGTGGTGTTCATGTTGCTGACAAAATCAGTTTGCAATAACTGTCCAGAAGTCTTTGTAAACTGAATAAGTACATACATGTCAATATTTCTTCAAAAAAGTAGACTCTATGTTGGATTTAGAAAGTTTCTCGTTGAAGTTAAGTGACTGATGTATGTTTCCGTGGTTACAGATCTTAAATGTGACTACACATTATCGGATGAATACAGAAAACAACATTACCTGGCCGGTCTGGTACTACAGGAGCTAAAGACAGCACTCAACGAGCCACGCGAGATACGCCGTATGGCCATCACAGTCCTCCGCGACCAGCTCGCCAAACATTCATTTGATGACCGCTACCTCTCTAAGGTAAGTGTTATTGGGGCAAAGCGGATGACCACTGACTGAATAATTGTTTGATGGGTTTACACACTCAAAGTAATACCTGGGTCATTTGGTGAGTAATGGGATTTCTATCACATTAGGGTGGTCGGGTGGCGCAGAGGAAGAGCACACTTGCCTTTCATCAAGCCAGCTGAGGTTCGATTTCCCGATCAGAGGTGAAATGGTATGGGGTCACCTGGCCAACCAAATGGGTTTTCTCTGGGTACTCCGGTTTCCTCCCACATTAAGACCACTCTGCGTTAACATCTGGGCCAACAAGAATGATAAATATAAGTTGAAATAACTTGTTTCATAATTGTTGAAAAAAAAAAGAAAAAAGGTTTATATTTCATATTTCTGTTGTTTCTACTGGATTATAAGCACACTTACTTCTGTTGGTGTAGTGGATAGCACGTTTGCCTTTCACCAAAACAGCCAGGGTTAGATACCCCGATTGGATGTGAACAGTTTTTGGGTCACCTGTCTGAGTTGTTCTCTGTATACTCCAGTTTCCTCCCCCATTAAGACTCTCTCAGCATTTCTATCCAGGGCAACAAGATTGATTAATAAGAAGTTGGAAAACTTGTTTCATAATTGTTGTAAATGATAAAGTTTATTCAGTTATGTTCATCATAGACATCTATCATGTCTGAATATTTTATTAATAAAAATAATATTTCTGTGACAGACCCAGCAGGGGAGGATTGCAGCCCTTTATCTTCCCGTCATATCCATCCTGATGGAACAGAAGAGACACCTGATGGACGACCCTGCGAATCCCTCCGTACCCCCACCTACAATCACTAACGGTGACGCGTCGGGGAGTACCAAGGCAGACCTACGATCTCACACCTCTCAGTCCGGTCAGAAAACGGTCACTTTTGACCAGCGTGACTCCAAGGTGTTCGCTATGATAGCTGGAACAGGTAAATGTACCACACCTGTTATCTCACGGATCAAAGGAGCATAGTTTTTTCATTCTATTTACTGTTAGGGAATGAATTGTACTCCAAGACTGTTATATTCACTCGATAACATTGAATTGTACTCCAAGACTGTTATATTCACTCGATAACATTGAATTGTACTCCAAGACTATTATATTCACTCGATAAGATTGGTCGATCCACTATTTTGAATAAGTATTTGAATTTTTTAAGTAAATTCAAAAGATCAGCATCGTGGCCTTAGATTCTATTTCAGGAAATCCTTCTGAAAAGATATATTTGAAATGTTCATGGTTTTCAGAATGTTAATGAGGTGATGATTCAGTTTGTGCTCTTAGTCCACATATTTAGGTTGAAAGTCAAATATGATGACAGTTTCAACACATTAGGACAAAATAAAAACTCAACAAACATAGGTTACAATTTGTGTCGACTTAATAATTTGATAAAAAGAAAACAAAAAACTCCTATGAAAAGCCTTGAAATAACATTTGTAACAATTAGGATTTACTTTCTTTCAACCAACTCTATGAAATTCTTATCGGTTTTCAAACTTTCAATTAACTCACATTCAAATTATCTATTGTATGTAAGAACAAATAAAACCCATTAACAACCAAAACCCTTCACCATGAATTATCTCCTTTTCTTTCTCCTTGTTTAAACTATTGTCACTGATTGTATTATTGTATGTATTTTTCATTGGAGACAATATGCTGTCCATCCTGAATATATTTTGCAGATTATGATACGGTGATAGATTAACATTAGTGTCTAAGACACTTGTTTCTATTTCCTATTTTGTGTTTTGTTACAAAATGTTATATATATGTATATAATTGAAATACTTGAATAAAAGAAAGTTTAAACTAAGTTATCTATTCAAAAGTATTGAAATTGGTTTAATGTGTGACCTGGACACTGTTTAATCTTGACATAATCTCCCCATGCAGGTGCCCCCGTACTAAGTTCAGTGCCGGACCTTAAGAACCATCTGAGTGGATCCAACAGCTCACTGACCAGTAGTACGTCGTCCATGGATCGGTCAGAAAAGGATGGCAGTAAAAAGTCAGATACTGCACGCGACAAGAAAGGTGACAAAGGCCACACGCGGTATGTATCAACATCAGTTTGGAAAAAAATAGGATTTATTAGTTAAGGATATATGCTACCTTAGTGGAGGACATGGATCTCTTTTTTGAAAAAGTTCAAAACCTGCAAAGATCTTTTTAGGGGTAAAATATTTGGAATTGGTTTCATGTAAAACATGGCAAATATTCTCAGGAGTGATTCCATTGATAATTAAAAGGCCCCGTATTTCTGAATCCTTTAAATTCTATAAGGCTTATTGAAAAAATGTTAAAGGAGATACCTCTTAGCCCTTTGGCTGCTACGCACGGCATATATCGTTTTGAAAAGTCGGGCCGTCAGTGCTACGCACGTCATATGTCGTTTCTCGGTCTGTAGGTTTTGATTGGTAGCCAGGAAGTGTGAAGTCGAGTTGTTGCTATACCAAACCCGAACGTGTATAGTAGAAGGCTTCTGATTGGTTGTTTTGTCATTACTTTCGATATTCACGGCAGTGTACTCTAGTAATAACCAAAGGTGTGCGAGAGAACTTCAAATCGAAAAAAAACATCATAAAAATGGCAGACGTGTAGGTTGAAGCGATGAATATGATGGTAATCATTTATTTTCCATCGTCACCTACGATGATGATAAAAGTTTTGAAGGGTTTGACATGGTTGATGTGGAAATACTTCGGTGTAACATAAATATGTTACTTTCCAATAAACGGCTTTGTGCCCTACACAAACAGGAAAATATTGGCGGACCAAGGCGCACATGTCGTCTGCAGGTGAGGCCAAAATGAACATTGACATTGATACGTTTTGAGCCGATTTATTTCTTCAAACTTTTTATCAGTGATTTAATCATAAACTAGACCGTAGCTAAGATATATCTGTATGCCGACTGTGACAGTAAATGTATTGAATTGCAACCTGAAACCTGTAGAAAATCACATGCAATTCTTTACGAAATACCTGACCTTTTTACCTGAGAATCTCCGTGTAAATATACAGCGTCTTATGTCAAAAATGAAGTTTATAATCTCTGTTATCATTTGCCAATCACATTTGCGGACGAAAATAATTTTAAAATGATCTTCCTCTTGCTTAAATCCGATTAATTAAAAGTTTCACATTTTCTTACCTTTATTACCACCTGTACAGGTAAATACTGAAGCAACTTTAGAATTGAAAACGTTAATATAAACTAGAGACAACAACGAACAATTTTCATACAACTTTTTTTCACATATAACAAATATTTTCCAAGTTATGCACATTTGAAAAATCAAGTAAATTAATTTAAATTTCAATAATTAATTCAGCAGTGGTGTCCCTTTACATAGAAATCAATGTAGCAGCCTAAGGGTTAGCACCAATCACATACAAAATTTATAAGGTATCATATACCCTTAACTTTGACACAAATAACAGGTTGACTGCGCTCTAATACAAATCACCGATAAAATGTATAAGGTAGCATATAACCTTAAATCAAACACAAATCACAGGTAAAATCTGTACGGTATCATATAACTTTAGACATCAATATGGCATATCCAGGTACAAATATATCATATTGTCATCTCTATTTCATCACTATAAAATACAATAATTCATGTATTTCAGAGTACACTCGTCAGGATCAAGTGTCGGAACAGACAAGGGGTCAGCTCCGTCTCCTAAACCTGCCATGATGCTGAAATACCAGCGATTGGACATCAAGGAGATTAAGGACCTCCTTCTGTGTTTCCTGTACATCCTGAAACACCTCCCTGACGGTAATACAACTCTGTTTATGCTTTCTGTAATAAAATTGTCCCTGCTCAATGAACTTAAACTCATCGTATTTTGTCTCAAATGGACATTTCAATGAAATGATCCTGGTTGGCTGCGAGATTTCGATCATTTGGCCGCATTTGAACTCTATGTGCAGGTAGACATGCTTTGATTGACACTGTCTGAAGCAGGTTGTGTCGGACCTCTAAACACATGGATGGATTATCATACATTTATATAGGAAATAAAGCTAGAATAAGGAGTAGAGTATGAGAGATACTCACGGCAAGTCACCACTGTTTAAATGAATTACGTACTGTATACCAGGAAATGTTCGCTGCAGTTTAATTTTTGCCTTTTTCATCTGCCATAATGAGGGCGAATTAATCCTTACAGCGAACATGAGTGAACTACATAATATACACAGTAATCAAATATGAAGGGCGAGATGAAGGCTGAGCGCGAAGATGAATTATTCTAGCAAAGGGCTTAAGTTCACTTGGCTAAAATTTCTTGGTATACAGTTATGTGTATAAGTATTTTTTAATGAAAAAGAATGCTGTCGATGTCAGCTGCAAGGTGATGCTATTGGTTTTGAACAAAGGTATCTAATATTACAAACTCCTGCTTATAATGAAGTTATATTTGTGACCTCCTGGCAAAGAATTGTCTCAAATTTCACACTCTATAACAAGTTTTCGAAATAACTCCAAATTTTGAATTCTGTTTTTCAGACATCCTCCTTGGCTGGTTCAATAATTCTTCAGAGTTTGACATAATAGATTTCTTCGGTATTTTGGAGTAAGTATAATTTCACAGTGAATTTCAAATTATGAATTTGTGACCTTAGAGTTGAGATAATTGTAGAATCATAAAAAAATAGAGACATCCTTTCTGATGATAAAAAAACCTTTACGGATTATAAGTCTTCTTTCTGCAGATTTTATAATCGTTATGAATAAGAAATCTTTTTTCGGGGCCCGTATTCATGAAACCATTGTCTTGCTCAAGCATGAATTTTGTACTCAAGTCAATTTTCTTGTGACTCATCTAAATCATGTGACACAGAAAATAAGTCTCGTGGAAATATTGAAAACGGTATAAGTCACTCGCTAATTATTGCAAATTATTGACACAATTTTTTATTAAATATCTCTGAAACAAGAAATTGTGCTTGAGCACAGAGTTTGAGCGTGAGAACAGTTTCATGAATATACAGACTCCGATGATTGTGATATTGTGAAGGATTGCAGATCTTTTGGCTACTGTGCTAATGTTACTCTGTTGTTAGTATATGACGCTACACACGAGTTACTCTGTTTTCAGTATATGACACTACACACAAGTTACTCTGTTATTAGTATATGTCGCTACATACGAGTTTCTCTGTTATCAGTATATGACACTACACACGAGTTACTCTGTTATCAGTATATGACGCTACACACGAGTTACTCTGTTATTAGTATATGACACTACACAAGAGTTACTCTGTTATTAGTATATGACACTACACACGAGTTACTCTGTTATTAGTATATGACGATACACACGAGTTACTCTGTTATCAGTATATGATGCTACACACGAGTTACTCTGTTATCAGTATATGACGATACACACGAGTTACTCTGTTATATGTATATGACGCTACACACGAGTTACTCCGTTATTAGTATATGACGCTACACACGAGTTACTCTGTTATCAGTATATGACGCTACACACGAGTTACTATGTTATCAGTATATGACGCTACACACGAGTTACTCTGTTATTAGTTTATGACGCTACACACAAGTTACTCTGTTGTTAGTATATGACGCTATACACAGTTACTCTGTTATCAGTATATGACGCTACACACGAGTTACTCTGTTATCAGTATATGACGCTACACACAAGTTACTCTGTTATCAGTATATGACGCTACACATGAGTTACTCCGTTATTAGTTTATGACGCTACACACGAGTTACTCCGTTATTAGTTTATGACGCTACACACAAGTTACTCTGTTGTTAGTTTATGACGCTACACACGAGTTACTCTGTTATCAGTATATGACGCTACACACAAGTTACTCTGTTATTAGTATATGACGCTACACACGAGTTACTCTGTTATCAGTATATGACGCTACACACGAGTTACTCTGTTATCAGTATATGACGCTACACACGAGTTACTCTGTTATCAGTATATGACGCTACACACGAGTTACTCTGTTATCAGTATATGACGCTACACACGAGTTACTCTGTTATCAGTATATGACGCTACACACGAGTTACTCTGTTATCAGTATATGACGCTACACACGAGTTACTCTGTTATCAGTATATGACGCTACACACGAGTTACTCTGTTATTAGTATATGACGCTACACACGAGTTACTCTGTTATCAGTATATGACGCTACACACGAGTTACTCTGTTATCAGTATATGACGCTACACACGAGTTACTCCGTTATTAGTTTATGACGCTACACACGAGTTACTCTGTTGTTAGTATATGACGCTACACACGAGTTACTCTGTTATCAGTATATGACGCTACACACGAGTTTCTCTGTTATTAGTATATGACGATACACACGAGTTACTATGTTATTAGTATATGACGCTACACACGAGTTACTCTGTTATCAGTATATGACGCTACACACAAGTTACTCTGTTATTAGTATATGACGATACACACGAGTTACTCTGTTATTAGTATATGACGCTACACAAGAGTTACTCTGTTATCAGTATATGACGCTACACACAAGTTACTCTGATATATGTATATGATGCTACACACGAGTTACTCTGTTGTTAGTATATGACGCTACACAAGAGTTACTCTGTTATTAGTTTATGACGCTACACACAAGTTACTCTGTTGTTAGTTTATGACGCTACACACGAGTTACTCTGTTGTTAGTATATGACGCTACACAAGAGTTGCTCTGTTATTAGTTTATGACGCTACACACAAGTTTCTCTGTTATTAGTATATGACGATACACACGAGTTACTATGTTATTAGTATATGACGCTACACACGAGTTACTCCGTTATTAGTTTATGACGCTACACACAAGTTACTCTGTTGTTAGAATATGGCGCTACACTCCAGTTACTCTGTTATTAGTATATGACGCTACACACGAGTTACTCTGTTATCAGTATATGACGCTACTCACGAGTTTCTCTGTCATGAGTATATGACGATACACACGAGTTACTATGTTATTAGTATATGACGCTACACACGAGTTACTCCGTTATTAGTATATGACGCTACACACGAGTTACTCCGTTATTAGTATATGACGCTACACACGAGTTACTCTGTTATTAGTATATGGCACTACACAAGAGTTACTCTGTTATTAGTATATGACACTACACACGAGTTACTCTGTTATTAGTATATGACGATACACACGAGTTACTCTGTTATTAGTATATGACATTACACAAGAGTTACTCTGTTATTAGTATATGACACTACACAGGAGTTACTCTGTTATTAGTATATGACACTACACAGGAGTTACTCTGTTATTAGTATATGACACTACACACGAGTTACTCTGTTATTAGTATATGACACTACACAGGAGTTACTCTGTTATTAGTATATGACACTACACAAGAGTTACACTGTTATTAGTATATGACACTACACACGAGTTACTCTGTTATTAGTATATGACATTACACAAGAGTTACTCTGTTATTAGTATATGACACTACACAAGAGTTACACTGTTATTAGTATATGACACTACACACGAGTTACTCTGTTATTAGTATATGACATTACACAAGAGTTACTCTGTTATTAGTATATGACACTACACAAGAGTTACTCTGTTATTAGTATATGACACTACACACGAGTTACTCTGTTATTAGTATATGACACTACACAAGAGTTACACTGTTATTAGTATATGACACTACACACGAGTTACTCTGTTATTAGTATATGACGATACACACGAGTTACTATGTTATTAGTATATGACGCTACACACGAGTTACTCTGTTATCAGTATATGACGCTACACAAGAGTTACTACGTTGTTAGTATATGACGCTACACACGAGTTACTCCGTTATTAGTATATGACGCTACACACAAGTTACTCTTTTATCAGTATATGACGCTACCCAAGAGTTGCTCCGTTGTTAGTATATGACGCTACACACGAGTTACTCCGTTATTAGTTCATGACGCTACACACGAGTTACTCTGTTGTTAGTATATGACGCTACACAACAGTTACTCTGTTATTAGTATATGACGCTACACACGAGTTACTCCGTTATTAGTTTATGACGCTATACACGAGTTACTCTGTTGTTAGTATATGACGCTACACAGGAGTTACTCTGTTATTAGTTTATGACGCTACACCCAAGTTACTCTGTTGTTAGTATATGACGCTACACAGGAGTTACTCTGTTATTAGTTTATGACGCTACACCCAAGTTACTCTGTTGTTAGTATATGACGCTACACAAGAGTTACTCTGTTGTTAGTATATGACGCTACACAACAGTTACTCTGTTATTAGTATATGACGCTACACAAGAGTTACTCCGTTGTTAGTATATGACGCTACACACGAGATACTCTGTTATCAGTATATGACGCTACACAAGAGATACTCTGTTGTTAGTATATGACGCTACACACGAGTTGCTTTGTTATTAGTTTATGACGCTACACACAAGTTACTCTGTTGTTAGTTTATGACGCTACACACGAGTTACTCTGTTGTTAGTATATGACGATACACAAGAGTTACTCTGTTATTAGTTTATGACGCTACACACAATTAGTATATGACGCTACACACGAGTTACTCTGTTATTAGCATATGACACTACACAAGAGTTACTCTGTTATTAGTATATGACACTACACACGAGTTACTCTGTTATTAGTATATGACATTACACAAGAGTTACTCTGTTATTAGTATATGACACTACACAAGAGTTACTCTGTTATTAGTATATGACACTACACACGAGTTACTCTGTTATTAGTATATGACACTACACAAGAGTTACACTGTTATTAGTATATGACACTACACACGAGTTACTCTGTTATTAGTATATGACGATACACACGAGTTACTCTGTTATTAGTATATGACGCTACACACAAGTTACTCTGTTATCAGTATATGACGCTACACAAGAGTTACTCCGTTGTTAGTATATGACGCTACACACGAGTTACTCTGTTATCAGTATATGACGCTACACAAGAGTTACTCTGTTGTTAGTATATGACGCTACACACGAGTTGCTTTGTTATTAGTTTATGACGCTACACACAAGTTACTCTGATATCATTATAAATCACAGAGTAGAAAGCCAGTCTTCTTTATAAATGGTTCATTGTTGTTCTTGGCCTGATACCTGATGGAAGTCTTGTCGTTTATATTGTATTAATTAATAAAAAAAAATGACTAATTAATAAAAAAAAATAACTATGACAGAGTCATACTTAGTTTCACAGCTTTAATCCATACTAGAGATGGTGGCCGTGTATTCCCTTTCTGTACCCATTCACCCCTTAAGTCTATTTGAACCTTACCAAATCAAAGACTGGGCAAGTCCAGTTTAAATATTTAGGGGTAAATGAGTTAAACATATGAAATAAGATCAGAGTAGATATTTTCGTATTCATACCATTAGGGTGCTGGTTTATGAATTACCTTAATTACTAAATCAAAGACTGGACGAGTCCAGTTTAAATATGTAGGGGTGAATGAGTTTTAGCTAGCATCGTCATCCCATCTCTTTTCATTGATCTCAGTATATTTAATATGAAAGTAAATTAACATTTTAGATGAGGACATGTTTGCTGTTGGTTGAATTCTTATTCCTCATACCATGAAAATTGTGAAAGTAAAAATCAGCTGGTATCCTGTAATAATAATTGCATATCGAGAAATTCTGGTAAAGGTTGAAAGTTTGACTGGGCGAAAATTTGCTGTTATACATTATATATCTTCTTATTACAGGGTTTGTTTGACACACTTTAAATACCAGGGAAAGAAGAAGATCCATGACCTCAGGTATGAATCAATGGCTAGTGTCCTCATATCTATAGAACATACACTGTACAGAGGCACTTGTTCTTCATACTTTTATCCCATTTATGTACTGAAGTTGTTTAACAGAAATTGTAGAATTGGATTGATTTATTTCACCATCATCTGATGTTTTGTACAGATTGTACAGGTGTGAATTAAGGTGAAATGTATACAATTGATTGCACCTAGTTAAAATACTAGATTATACAGGGGTCAGATTAGAGAGATGATAAAGGAATGTGGATTATACAGGAGTCGGGTAAGACAGGTTACCAAGTATCTTGGATTGTATAGGGTATGGTTTGGGTTAGGAATGGTTTGGGTTTATATAGGGCTGGTTTAGACAGGTAACACAGGAAATTCTAGATTGTAGAGGGGTCAGATAAGACAGGTTATGAAGTATCCTGGATCGTACAGGGTATGGTTAAGGTCAGAAAGGGTCCTGGTTTATATAGGGCTGATTTAGGCAAGGTAACACAGGATGCTAGATTATACAGGGGTCAGGTAAGACAGGTTATAAAATATCCTGGATTGTACAGGATATGGTTTGGGTCAGTAAGGGTCATGGTTTATACAGGGTTGATTTAGACAGGTAACATTGTACAAGGGTGATCATGTAATTCCAGTTTCATAGGAGACAGCAGAAAGGCATCCACCATGCCCTACGCACGACGCTCAACTCCCAGCGTGGTCAGCAGCACGTTCCAGCTGCGCACAGTCAGCCAGTATGGAGATATCCCAGACAGTCCACATCATGGTGAGTATAACATCTGGGTCAAAGGTCAATTAGATATTGCTGTTGAGGTCAAAGGTCAATAATGTATAATGTATCAGGCAGGAATATGAATTCTCTGTAACATCAGTGTATCGATCCACTTAACCCTTTCACCCCTATGTAACTTAAGTAGACTCTACCATGCATTGATATGGATGAGTCCATTATGGTCTACAGTGGTGAAAGGGTTAAAGTAGATGGGCAAAGAAACTGACATGCAATTTAAAGAAGTAGTTTTATGTATTCAGTTTTCACTACATGATGCTTTTATGAAAATTCAACTGTATATTGACTTGATCTGTTTTTTATACGCCCGTCAAATTTGGCGGAAGTATTATGGTATGGGGTTGTCCATCCGTCTGTCCGTCAAGCGTAAACTTTTGTTTATCCGGCAATCTCCTCCTACATTTTTCGACCGATCTCTTTGAAACTTTGTATACATTATAATCATGATATGAAGTTGTGTCTCCCATAAAACAATTTTGATTCAACAATTTTTGCAAAAGTTCTTGCCCTTTATTCATTTCAGTATTTGATTTTTTGTCCGGAGATTTTCTCCTACATTTTTTATAGCATGTCAGCTAACCACTCTAAGAATGAAGCTGATCTTATTTCAATATAAGAAAGTATATAACACTATATGGCATTCGACGGGCGTATATTGTTCCGCCCCGCGGTACTCTTGTTTCTGTATATATTGCTCTTTTATCTGCCAATATTAGCAAAAAGTACTGAAGTATCTCTTTCAAGGTACATTTCCACCTTTTTGATCCTAGTAGTATTTTTGATCCTAGTAGTATTTTGATCCTAGTAGTATTTCGTGATCTTTTTATAGAATCACATGCTGGAAATATCAGCTTGTAACAGAAAATAAAAATGATAATATCTGTTTATAAAAAATGAACAAACATTTCTGGGTTGGATACTTTGGTATAAAATACATCTATATTTAACTGAAAAAAGTCCCGTTTTGGGTACAGTGACGGTAGACAGTCTAATGTGAGGTGGTCTTATTTTTGTTGACTGAACTGAAGACATCAATATCGTTGTAGAACGGGGTCAGTGATAAATTTTGACTTGCCATACTGTGAAAAAATATAATGAAATCAAAGATGAAAAAACAACACGATGCAAAATAAAAACACCTCAAATTTGGTTCGGGAACATCGGCCCAAAACTATAACCTTGCAACATCAAACCAATACACAATACTTAGAATGATTCTTCCTATAACATGTTACTGTGTAGCAGAAAACTTTCGCCTAGTCAAATATTCACCCTTGGTAAAATCCATGTTCGTCCAGTCTTAATTTTGCCCTAAAAACTAACTACATAGGGTATGCTATTTATTTATATTTGGTCTTATGATAAATTTGCTCTCATTGCAAAGGGCAAATAAGATGAGAATTTAACTGCGGTGACAATTCCTTGGTATACAGTCTGTGATTTGTATACCCTTTTTGTAGGTGGGGCGTCATCCGATGGGGACGCTGTGATGAAAGCGCTACAGGAGGCAAACATGACAACAGAAATCGGTCTCATCTTCCTCGACCTCCTTAGCACATACTGCCAAACTTTCAAGGTCAGAACTTCCATACTTTGACAAAATGCTAGAACATAAATTATCAATGCCATGTCTTCAGATAGAGCGAAACTTACTTATGTTAAAATTGTGAAAAAACTTTTGAAGGCTATATTCAAGCTATTTGGGTTAGAAATGGATATAATGTCCCACAGAACCAAAAGGTATCTGGGTTAGAAACGGATATAATGTCCCATAGAACCAAAAGGTATCTGGGTTAGAAACGGATATAATGTCCCATAGAACCAAAAGGAATCACCAAAATTGCAACAGAAAAGATATTTGAGTCAAAAAAGGAGGGTAATTAAGATAGTGAGAGGTGACGTCAATGCTAACTTTTAAAGTCTTTGGTCGTAAACTTTGCCATTCTTCAGTTTATCATTTTCCTTACTCCGTTCTTCAATTCATTTATTTATTTTCTTCCTTTTTCTCTCCATAATTTGAAATACTTTTTTATTTTTCAAATCAGATATTTAATGTCTGCTTTCTTCAGCCAACATTCTCGAAATTGTTAACGCCTTCCTGAAGACCTGATTGTTGATGAAGAGAAATTGTGATGATATATTTCGGCTACTTTGTTTTAGGATAAAAATGGGAGGATTAACATATAAAGAGCACTCTAAGTTGTTTGAATTTTTCGAAATTTTGAGTATGATATTTTTGTTTGCACAGAGAAATTTGGAACACAAAGACGGAGACAACAGTTTGATGAGAAAGATCTTCAGTCTATATCTGTCCTTCTTACAAACCAGTCAGTCCGAACATCTCCAGAAACACGTGTTCGCTGCCTGGCGCTCATTTATCAAAAAGGTTTGTACAGAAAAATGTAAATACACTTCAGTCATAAAGTAGTTTTTGATTTTGAATGCTTCAGTTGCTTTTCTTTCACATCAAAAAAAACATAGAAACCTGGTAAATGGGACAAAACAGATTGGTCAGATTACACAGAATGTTGAAATACACAGGTCATATTTGATCAATAGTCAAATAAATAAAAATTAAAAAACGGTCTACAGCTAATGAAAATAAGCTCAAAATGAGTTCCCAGTGTAGACCTGCAATCACAAAATGACCTCTATTTGAGAATCTGTAATCATTGGATTTATTTCTTCCTATAGTACACTGTTTCTGTTTGTAGTTCCCTTCCGTGTTGTTCCGGGGACAGGCCAGTCTGTGTGGAGACCTTTGTTATGAGGTGTGTATCGAAAATCTCTCCCCAAGAAATCATTGAAAAATAATCTTGATGTGCCTGTTGTCATAGAAACTTTCCGCAACTTCTCGCAAAATTTTACTTAAAAACTGTTGAAGATATCAAGACCAGACTTGTTTAAGATGGCAAGACGAAACTTCAGACACAAATCTGTGTGAAATTGTTGTGCAAATTTGAAAGTTCCACAAAAAGTTCCATTTGTTAATACTGACAAACCATATCTTCTATTTTATTTATTTTGACAACTGATTAAGATATTCGTCCATTCAAACATTTCATTCAGCGTCTGATTTATAGATTACTGAGCCACGTCTGACTATTAAAAACTGTCCCCTCAAAAATCACCAGATCCGTACAGAAATTACCAAACTTTCATGATCACCGGTTCAACCTGTTACACAGTATAGGTTTAGTTTGATAAACTCCGTCAATCTGACACTAAAAGAAATAATTGACTAATGTTTCGACTTTTACAGGTCCTGCGGTGCTGCAACTCAAAACTCTACTCCACGCGGAAGGAAGCATGTGCTCTGCTGTACCTCCTGATGAGGGCCAACTTTGAGTACACGAAAAAGAAGAGCTTCACCCGTGTCCATTTACAGGTAAGGTAGTTCCTCGCACTTCCTACCTTAAGAATCTCAGTACCTGTTGTTACTATTGGAACAAATCAAAAATCTAGATTGGAATTCTTTCGAATTTCGCTTGCAGTAGGACAGGAATCCTTGCAGTGTTTCTGTCATCCGTTACTGTTGTCCCACCAGCTTTATTCTCATGTCCCCCTTACAGGTACATTGTACATGTACCATAAATTGGTCTCCGTCTTTACTTTAAGGTTAACACGAAACTTTGAAATCTCTTCAGTATGATGTCCGTCTTGAAAGGAGTCTTCAAAATGATGTATCTGATTTTGTTTTTGAGATATCCTTGAAAAGAAAATAGATAACATTTACATTTGTAAAATGCAAGTTTCAATGAACAATTTACTGATATTGGCAAAAAATAAGTTTTCGGGCCATATCAATTTTTTTTCAGATTTACGTTTTTTTCTCTCTGTATCAGGATTGAATTTCAAGATGTTGATGCATCTTATTTTGTTTTCATTTAGGTGATAATCTCAGTGTCAAAGCTCCTTGGAGACGAAGTTGGCCTTAGCAACTCGCGTTTCCAGGAGAGCCTCGCAATGGTGAACAGCTATGCATCCAGTGACCGGGCAATGCAGGTCAGTAATCGTACTGGAGTCACATATAACATCAAACTCTCTGTGTGGCTAAACTGTGTGTTACTATAAAATCCTGTTATCTGCAACCTTATCTGATCAGAGTGATGTTTTCAGTAAGATGTTCTTCTTATTCAAACTTCCTGTTGTACAATCATTTTTTCTGAAATCAAGACTTGCAGTGATTTGATTTGCTTAATTTAGGGTCACCTAAACAAAGACTTTTCTGGTCTATGAAGTATGATCTTGTAATAACAGGGACCCACTTGTAAATAAAGTCCCACATTTGAGTAAGATCTCAAGTATAGTCAATAGCGAATCTCAGATTTGAGAAAATCATAAAAGTTAAGACCTACCATTCTGTCGTTTTGTTGTGACATCATTAAAATAGTGTATTTTCTGTCTGGTATGGAAAGAAACTGTGATGTGGTTACATACTGGGGGGGGGGGGGGGGGTATCCATTGATGATTCTTCTATTTCTTTTACACATTAAAAATGTATGCTGCCACTCCATGTCTGACATGTCATCCTCATTAATGCATGTAATATCTCCCCTACCAGAACGCTCCCAATTATATAAAATATTGTTATGACTATTTTATATCTTCCCTCTCTCCAATCTGGTACACAGATCAGTTACTTCTGGTGTAAAGTAAATGACAGAACAGTTATTTTTAGGCTACCTGTTATACGGAGTGACAAGCCAGTAGTTTCTAAAGCTATATATATATTATACCAATGTTATGACAATAATTTCTGGGGTTATGTGTTATAGTAAATGACAGAACAGTTATTTTTAGGCTACCTGTTATACGGAGTGACAAGCCAGTAGTTTCTGAAGCTATATATATATTACACCAATGTTATGACAATAATTTCTGGGGTTATGTGTTACAGTGAGTGACAAAAACCAATGACAGGCTATGACAGGCAAATTTCTTGGGCTTTATATTACAGCAGGTGACAGAATATTGATTTTCTTGAGCTGGATGTTAAAGAAAGTAACAAGACATTTATTTTATGGGTTATATGTTACAGTGAGTGACAAAAACCAATGACAGGCTAAGACAGATCTTGGGCTTTATGTTACAGCAAGTGACAATGTATTGATTTTTGGGGTTAGATGTTACAGTGAGTGACAATATTTACTCGGGCAGTATATTTCACATCTATATCTTAAAGCTACAAAGAATTTGTATGTTACTGAGATTTGTTTTTGTTTGAACTATTTGTAGCCTTCTGAAGATTATTTATTGATGGTAAATAATTTGTTAAATGTTGGTTGCACTGTCCCAACTCCCACATGATCAAACCTTTTTTACATCCTGTTTGTTTTTACTGTCATCCACACCACAAGAATTGCTGTTTATTTCAATTTAATTTTGTAATAAATATTGTAGCTGTGTTTGATCTGCACTCAGTTTTGTTACATTACAAGACCTCAGAGAGACCATGTATGGTTCATTCATGAGGATAAAGAATTCCCTTGTCAGTTTATATTATTTAAAAAGTTTGCTCCATGAATTGGTACAAGTTTGCCCTTGTTGAAGAGAGATCATATGGACTTGGTTTTAAATGTCTGTTGCTGTTGTTGTTGTTTTATAAGTTTTTTAGTTTATGTCACATAAATGTTTCCTTATCATTGTTGTTTCATTGCTTACATTTTACGATGATTTTATTTTCATGCTAATTTATACAGAGCTTCATTTGCATATTCAAATGCCTCATGAATATAAATTCATTCAAATATTATTTTGTATTTTATACCTGTAATAGTTCAAGTGTGAACTGTTTTAAGACTTTGATTTATGAATGAATAAATCAATTTCACAAAATGTAATTGATTACCCCCTCAAGTGCCTCATGAATATTAATGCAAGAGTTTATTTTTAACCAATTTATATTTTATACCTGTAATAGTATCAAGTGTGAACTCTTTTATGACTTTGATTCAAAAATAATTAACTTGACTTCACAAATTGTAATTGATTACCAAGGATTTTACCTTGAAGGTCAACTGATAAATTCAAGGTCATTTGAATATGAATTAAGCTTACAATAAATTCATACATTTGTGCAGTGTGTTGTGTGATCATGCTTTCTAATCAATTTTGTGCCCAAACAGACCAAGTTGATTTTCCGTGATAACAACAACGGGCTTATGGCCCAACGACGGGTATGAAAATCCAATTAAAAAAATTATTGCTTGCGTACATTACAGCTAGAAACCATGGCAACCTAACATCGATTTGTCCCAAATCTGCTTCGTGTTCTGCAATGTTAATATGCACAAAATGGCAAAATTTGATATTTCTGATTAAAATACAAAAACATTTCATTAACACAATTTCAGAAAAATACAATAGATAAATCTAAGATATGATACGTTTTTATCTCACTGACACTTCGTTACTCTCGCTTTCCTTCTTACAGCTGTGTTAAATTAGGCCTGATTATGACACCACCATTTTTCCAGTCATATCAGGACTGAAGTCTGTCATATATGATACAATAGAAGATGGATAACATTTCTTCCATTGAAAAAAAAGACAAAAATGAGACAATATAATGCCAATTGAAAGCTCCAATACTTGCTTCTTCTATAAATAACAGCAAAGCTTAAAAAGCAAGCCTAGCAATTGACTCAAGAAAAACTAACGCAACCTTTCAAATTCTTTTAAAATCTAATTAAATTTAAAAAAAAAAAGGAAATACATGTACAAGAAACATTACTTGAATTATTTTGTTATTAAATTAAGTTTTCGGTTGGCAGTAGACAAATACAATGTTTTGTTGTCATGGTTTCAACTATTTACAATTTTTAATGTAATGAGGACAGATGGTGATTTGGCAGTGGTTCCGTAGCATAACAGGGAAACAGACATCAGCAACGCCAAACTTTTTATTATAACACACAATCGTTCATATTTAATATCTGTGAAATACAGTCAGTTTTAAAGCGGTTTTTTTGATAAGCCAGGAAGAAGTCACTATTTGTTTTATCCCTCTCAAGCTTTTTCTGTGACTAAAACTGATTCATTGATACCAAACACTGATATCACTGTGGAATCCCACTCATACCTATTCATATCATATGAATTTTCAATTTTAAAAGAAATGAGTATATATAATATGAATAGCTGTTTATTTTCTTAAAATCATTGGTCAAATTTCACTGTCAAATAGCATGAGATTGAAAATTTTGTTGAATTGTTTCCCAAGATTACTGAGATTTAAAGACAGTATTAACTCATTCACCCCTACACTTTAAAATGGACTTGCCTAGTCTCTGATTTGGTAAGGTTCAAGTGTGACTTTAGGGATGAATGGGTTAAACACATTGATTGAACCAGTCTTCCAATCACGTGAGATATCAGTTAAGCATGAAATAAACAGGGAAGGTGTTATGAGTTTGGAAACAGTATCTAGTCTTTGGTGTTTGGGGAACAGGGAAGGTGTAACGAGTTTAGTAACAGTGTCTAGTCCTTGGTGATTGGGGAACAGGAAACAATGTTACTATGGTTACAGTCGAGAGGTATGATTATCTCCCCTTCTTCCTCTTTCTCCCTCATACGTTCCAATCGCTAGAATTCAGAAATAAAGATTGTGTTCCCCATAAGCCACAACATTATTCTTGGTAAAGGCAAATCAATGGCCCATGAACAATTCCTAACCCTTGAACCCTCGTAACGAAATGGAAGATCAACCCACCCCAGTATTCTGGTAAAGGAATTGGAAACTTGGCCAGCTAGCCAACCAACCTTAATATTGGTAAAGGGATGCTATCATTTGTTCTAAAAAAGACTAGTAATTCTGGTAAAGGTAAGGTAAAGCCAAAAAAAGTAGAAAAAGATAGCGGTGACAACGAAGGAACAGATAGGACATTTTTTTTGTAGAACTATAGGTGTTATAGGGGATCAGTGGTGGTGGAATTGTTTTTATTTAAAATGAACAAAATCAATGTTTTTTTTATTGTGTATGAATATTACATTGATTTCTGTTAGAAATTTAATTCTAATTTAAAATCAGAAAATGTTTGATTGATGTCAAGAATTGTACAATAAATAGACATTGTGAAAGAAAGTTTTGGTACAATATTTAAAAATGTAAATATATTAACATATGTAGTTAAGAATCAATCTTTTAGGAATGTTCTTCTTTTACTAGTTATCTTGTTAGCAATCAGTTGAAATGTTGTTAATAAGCCCTAGCTCTGTCAATTATTTCCTACTTTTGTTTTTGTGATTTCAAGGATTGTGGGGTATGAAACATTTTGGTTTCGCTTGGTTTTCCAATTAGATTTGACTGCAGGTGAAAAGTGTAATGTGGCTTTTTATCCCCAACCCCAATCTAATCAATCGACTGAAACCCTCGGTATGGATAACAAAAATCCAAATGACCTCAGATTTAACCAAACCTCGCCTTTAGTGGTTAATATGTGTGAATATTGCTAAAATTATACTAATTATGTTTATCTGTGAGTAGAACAGGTTTTGTTTGATTAGCAATTGAAAAAAATAAAGTAATAAAGAGTGTCAAGCACCATGTACAATGTGATTGTACTATGATATCAAACATTTCATGGACTAAGAATAATTGGGGGAACGTCCCATGATATCAAACATAATATGGACCAAGAATAACTGGGGGAATGTCCCATGATATCAAACATAATATGGACCAAGAATAACTGGGGGAACGTCCCATGATATCAAACATATATGGACCAAGAATAACTGGGGGAACGTCCCATGATATCAAACTTTTCATGGACCAAGAATAACTGGGGGAATGTCCCATGATATCAAACATTATATGGACCAAGAATAACTGGGGGAAAGTCCCATGATATCAAACATATATGAACCAAGAATAACTGGGGGAATGTCCCATGATATCAAACATTTTATGGACCAAGAATAACTGGGGTAATGTCCCATGATATCAAACATTTTATGGACCATGGGGGGCAGATGTTATATGGAGGGTGGCAGTGTCATTTGGGAGGGGCATGTCCCTGGTAGAACTACATATGTAGGTTGATGAAGGAGGGGGAAGGAAAAGTATCGTCATTAGATTTGTACTCGAACTAGTATATGGGCAAATGTGAAATTATGTATTTTCAAAACAAAGTTTTGGTTCTTGCAGTTGGACATTTTTGACTTAATGCTCAAAGACGTAACATAAACATTAACAAAGTGGAAAATCATCCAGCAATTGGAATGTGAAATGTGAATATTTGATAAACACCGTAGTTCCAGAGTCACCAGTTTCTACAATAGACATTTATGAACTATCAATGAATCCAGAGATAGTAAATCCGTCCTTCATTCTGGATCCTGTCAGGATAAAATCCGTCTGTCCTTGTGTTTTACAAAGTGTGTACGCTAAATACTTCCACAGTTTGATGGCGTTCCTTTAATGAAGTATCAAAAGTTGTGGAATGTTTACTGTGCACGCTATTAATTCATTTACCCCTGAAATTTCATTATTAACATTCCAACCTTTGAATTGGAAGAGTTCAAATGTGTCTTCAGGGGTGAATGGGTTAAAACCTATAAAACAATGATATTTGATGTACATGCATGCCATCCTTTATTACAATAACAGGGTGATGGAAAAGGTCGGAAACGTGGACAGAGGACAGAGGTAACAGTTGTCTCCCCTTGGTATTGCGGAGTGGCATACAGTTACTACTAATATTACTACTAACCGGTCTTTGTACGATGGTTGCCATGTAGTGGAGAACAGTTGCCTGCTTATATAGGCATTAATATTTATATAATCTTTAGTAGAACAAGTCCAATGCTGTTATTTCGTAAGAGGATTTAAGGTCACGGAGGAATTGCTGTACTCCTCCATAACTGCGGAAATGTATAATATTTTTGCAAAGTAGGATTTATGCGTAATATTTCAGATTTGAAGTGAATTTTTTCCCTTTAGTTTGGGATTCTCAGGAATAAGGTTACCATGGAGTAGTTAACATGTATTTAAATTATTTTTAAACAAAAAATCTAGGTCAGCAAAAAAGTTCATGGTCAATTCCCACTGTGTAAATGGATTCCTATAAAAAAAGAGCGCCCCCTAATTTCATCATGTATTTAACTATGTTCTGGGATGGGAGACACGTCGGAAATATTAATACATTTTACAGGTAAAATTATTAAAAAGTTGCATGGCTAGACATGCCATTATGTAGTAATACCTATATATACCAAGTATTATAAAGGCTTCACCATATATATATCTATCTGTATTCACTACTGTATCAAATGTATTCTGTATACTATATATAGATGTATATAGACAAATATTTAATATTTAAAAAATATACATATATGGTAAAATATTCTTGGTTCAAAATCTCCGGCTCCAGATAATATGGCTATGTGATTTGATCTGGATGTTCAGGATTATATAATACAAGTCCGATCAAATTAGGATAGGTTAGTAGTCTCCATTTGATATATTTGAGTTGACCTAATTACACTGTATATAGATTGTTTCAAGTATCGAGACCAATATTTTGATTTCTGGTTACTTTTCTCTCTATTTCAGTTTCCTGTTTTTTTTCTTCAAACTATTTTTTTCATAATTAGATGTATTGTATCAGTCTTTAACGTTACATTCAGTCCTACCAGTGTTTAAGGCTTGTTTTATGTCTATATTTAATTTCCTTGACTCAGAACATTGTACCTGACATTTAGATGGGTTTGAGCGTGTGTCTTCAGGGACCTTTTGTGTATCCTTGAGCTGTATTGAAAAGTTGATGAAAATATCACTTGATGCACAGCATATGTAAGCCCCACATCAAACTAGAAAGGCCCATGGTGTTCAGCATGAAAGCCCCACATAAAACTAGAAAGGCCCATGATGTTCAGTATGTGAACCCCACATCAAACTAGAAAGGCCCATGATGTTCAGCATGTGAGACCCATATCAAGCAAGAACATCCCATGATGAGCAACATATGAATGTAATATTAAACAAGATACATTATTTATCAAAAATGAGAGAGGAAAACCTAACAGCTTATAACATTTTTGTGTTGGTGATGGGGAGTCGAATCGCACCAATTCGCTATAGAGCGAGTATAATCAATACAGAGTTATCTGCTCCTGCACCCAGCATTTTATTATCTTACCGTAATATTATCCATGGACTTTCCATTACTTGGATTCTCTTCACAGATTTGATCGAAGTTCCAATGTGTTTTTAAGTTGCTGTGTTAAAGCTGTATTCTAATCGGCTTTGTTATTTATTTTCATTATCCTCAACTGTAACCACGACAATATATAATAAAATATTTCGTCCGAAATAAAGTTTTGAGGCAAAAATAGAAATATTACAATTAACTGATTTTTAAGTAAGTAAATATTTTACCATATCTTAGCATATTTATATTCAATTAAAACCTGAATTTAAGATAATTGAATACATTTATTAAAGTCTAATGAGTTTCGTTTATTTTCTCCGCACTCTGTATTATTTGCTTGATCGTGAAGGACACATGGAATTTTTTAATGGTGGGCGGAATATGGAAAAATACAACGGAGCGCGTAAGAATTTTAATTATCTTCCTCCTGTGGCATTGTGCACCTTGTGGCATCCTCCTGGCCTGCCAAGGTGCCACTCAACACAGCATGCACTTCCTTGCTTGCCACCTCCTTTGGAATTCCTGTTACCGTAGTAACATCAGGTCTTGGATGGATGAAACATTGGCATGGCTTCAGTTGAACTGCTTAAGGCAAAAATAAAAATGCTCTGCCAATTGTCACAAACATTAAGCCATTATAATAGCGAATGATTTAAAAATCCTCATGTTGATTTAGAATTTTTAGACTATTGTGATATTGTGATGTATTTATACACTTTTTGGAAGAAAAAATAATTCATGAATTCCTTAATCTTTAATGAAAAATGTTATTTTGATTTAAACCATTTTTCGGTTCCTTAGTATAGGACAGTAGTTTGAATACTGTTTTGCATGTATTTAGTCTGTTAGGTTAGCAGTGTGTTAGCGGGTAAAATATTTTTTAGAAGGATTTTTGTTTTGTTCAATATCAACTTTTCGCTTCTACTGTGCAATCCTCTTTCAGGATCACTCAACTACCTTAAATATATATGCTATGTTATCATATGTATCTCTTATCAAAAAAGAGTTCTGATCAGTTAAAACCGTCTTCTCTTTGTCATGAAACCTTTGTTGTATATTGCGTCTTTGCGTATTGCAGAGTTATTTACTCTTGTGAGCAGGTATTGATTGTTACGTCATTGGTTTGTGTGAGAAAATTAAGTCGCTTTCTCAAAAATTGATGATGTTACTCTCACCAACAAATGACGTAATTAAACAATAAATATCTGCTCACAAGAGCAGATAACTCTGCAATACGAAAAGACGAAATAATCAATGGTTGTGAGGTGTACACGTTATATAATACAAAGATCAGCATTTTTCAAGAATTAACAATTTCAAGGGAAGTAGTTAATTCTTACATATTTTGAAAAATATATATCCAGTTTGAAAACAGGAATTTTCAGTTTGTGTTATAAATATTTAGGGATATACATTTTAGTTGCCTGGAAATAAACACAAAAACCCATATGAAACTACAGCAAAGAAATTAGAAAAAACATTGGATAAATGAATTAGTTGTCAGTGTAGTTTTTTCAGTTTATATAAAAATTACAAAATTTAAGTAGGTTTAAAACCAAGCGATATTTCTCTCTCATTCTTTTACGTAGATACTGACTGATATAATAAGTGCTTAGAATGATAAACCATCAATAATAGCATATTTTTTTTTCTGAAAAATGCAAAAGAAGGTTATTTGAGGAACAAAAAACCCAAGAGAAAACAACATATTTTTCTGCTTAATTATGACTGGAAAGATGTATTGAACTTTGTATGTTCAGTAAATAGACCATAAAGTGTTAGATTGAACAAAATCATACAAAGTAGGGTTAAAATAACGTATGGTCGTACTGTGACGGTGACGACACTTAAAAAAAATGATTTAGAAATACACAAAATGAAATGCTATGATAACAATCAAAATTAGGTTTAAAAACATGCTTAATGCTTACAGAATTAAGAATTAACATTTTCTATACATAAGTTAAAAAAAGGATATATGGTATATTCTTTAAAAAAAATATATTGTGTCAATTAACGTCAATTAAGGGAAAACACAGAAACAATAAGAAAAGTATCTCTTTCTTTATTTGAATGACTAGATCGGAGTTCTTATACATTTTATGTTTTCCTGTGTAATAGTTTTACCAGGATTTCACTTGTTTTTCCGTAAATTTTCCTGGTGTCTTGCATTTTGTTCTTTCGATTTGTTTTTAGATTGTCTTCTCTACAATTTCCAATTTTGTTACGTAATTTTCATTTCATATACCAATATTGAAGACTCAATGTTAAAAACTTGTGTTTGTACTAAAGTCAAATTTATCCTCATTTGCTAGGCTGAAACTTTTGATATTACGTCAAATAAAATATTCTGAAGCAAGCAACTGTAATATTATTAGAAAAAATAATAAAAAAAATAAAAATATATATATTTTGTAAGTACAATGTATATGAAAAAAATCCATATCTTAAAGCATCTGTTATTCAAGCTTAACCGCTGTAATAGAAATGAGAAGTAATACATCCTTTTAAATGTCACGTAAATTTCTTTTTACAGAAAAGTGGATTTCCGGCTGAAGTAAAAGATCTCACAAAACGAATCCGAACAGTTCTCATGGCAACTGCTCAGATGAGAGAGCACGAAAACGACCCTGAAATGCTGATAGACTTACAGAACAGTTTAGCCAAGTCATACGCCAGCACGCCAGAGCTTCGGAAAACGTGGCTTGACTCCATGGCAAAAATTCATTTTAGAAATTCAAATTACTCCGAGGTTTGTAGAACTCGTAGTGTCAGTGAGGAAATATGCTCATAAATCTTGATGAGAAACATAAAATGTGTTCTTCAGTGATCCCAAAGTGTCGTGAGGTTATACATTAGTGCTTCCCAAGTATTTAATGAAAAATATTATCGGATTAATTGGATTTTGTGTATTTTGGGAGTCGTTCAAGATTGTATGTGTTGGTTTTCTTCTTACATACAATTAATTAGGAAGATGAATAAATTCCCCTGTAAATTGTAGCAGTAGTCTATTTTTAGTCCCCATCAATTCTTCCAGAGATGACTCTATAGGTTTGTGTCATCTGTTTGGGCCATATATCTTGCCATCACTATGTTGTCAGACTGAGGACCAAGTCAAACTTACCAAAGTTACTAACGTATACAACTTCAGCCACACTATATTTGAGCCTGTTTGGGAGCCAGGTGGTGTGCTCTGTGGCGGTGGCCAAGTGGTTGAGGGGTCTGACATTCTGCTGCCAATAGCCCTCCAGCGTCAAAGTCAAATTGTTACAAATATCAATTTTATTATGTGAGTGTATCGTCTCTGGCTGGCGGAGTGTTGTATATTGAAACTGGGTCTTATGGTCCACAATTAACAGAGTTATGGCCCTTTGTTTATTTTTTAAACCAAAATATTTTCCAGGTATGGCAGCAATGAATTGTTCACAATGACTTGCTTTGTATGAAAATCTATTCCTTGGATAAGTCAGTCTAACCTATTTTTTAAAAAGCTTTTTCACTATTTATTGACTATTGTGAAATGAATTATTATCTTGTCCCACATTGTCTGTATTTTTTGGGAGGGAAATAAATTGATCTTGATTGATAAGACTCCATGTTTGTATTACAGGCGGCCCACTGTTATATCCACATAGCCGCTCTCATAGCTGAGTACCTGAGACGTAGAGGTAAGTGTTTGTACATAATACGAAATACGCATCATATAGGGGTGGAAATAGGGAGGAGAAAGCTTACTATATAGTCGCCTTACTGCCATACATTTTATATAACAATGTAGTCGCCTTACTGTGATACATTTTATATTGCAGTATAATCGCCTTATTGCGATACATTTTATATTGCAGTATAATCGCCTTATTGCGATACATTTTATATTGCAGTATAATCGCCTTAATGCGATATATTTTCAATATCTCCATCCCCCACCCCCTACCCCAACCACCCACCCTCTAAAACAAAACAAAAATCCACTGATTTAATGCATAGATTTGTGATACGACAGATAAATTGTCACGAAAATATTCACAAAACTGCAAAATATTTACGGATTTAGAAATATACTTCACCAAAAGTATTGGTATTTTGAGTTAAGTATCATTACCTTGTATATAGTACTGTATTATTAGCACTACATAGCGATATATCAATATCAATACCCTATACCTTTTCCTTATCTGTACTGTAATATAGTCTAAATATAAATCAATATTTACTATTATTCACTAGCATTCATAACCTCTAGACCTGCTCACAGAGACTATATACAACCATCTAAATTTCTGTAGTAGAAAATAGACTCCTGTGAAGGAATATACAACAAATTGTTAATGGCTAAATTCACTTGGCTCCTGTCTGAAAACATCTCCTGTCTCTAAATTAAATTACTGTTTCCCTGTAGATTATAAGGAACGGGTAAAGGCCATCCTAGATACTCAAGGGGTTACGCTCACTTTTGCTCTCTGTACCCCTGGAATATGTCATAGCAAAATTGAAGGCACACGGCTAGCTATTTGATTGGTCTTGGGTAAAAAAACACCTGACCAATCTCTAGACTGATACCTGTCTTTTGAGGATTATAGAGGAGTGACAGCCGACATCAAAGCCTGTCAAATTTACCGTAGGCAACCAACAGATTCTTTTGATGTATATTAAAGTATCAAACTATATAAGTCTTCCTGTCTTATCGCCCAGGTGGTGCACACTGAGCCTTCAAATTTGTTATGACAATTTTCATTGGGTGCAGAGAGCGAAAGTGAGTGTAACCTCTGGAGTATCGAGGGTGGGTATAGGGCTGTTCTGCTGTCTATTTCATGATTATGTAACCTCTGGAGTATCGAGGGTGGGTATAGGGTTGTTCTGTTGTCTATTTCGTGATTATGTAACCTCTGGAGTATCGAGGGTGGGTATAGGGCTGTTCTGTTGTCTATTTCGTGATTATGTAGCCTCTGGAGTATCGAGGGTGGGTATAGGGCTGTTCTGCTGTCTATTTCGTGATTATGTAACCTCTGGAGCATCGAGGGCGGGTATAGGGCTGTTCTGCTGTCTATTTCATGATTATGGAACCTCTGGAGTATCGAGGGTGGGAATAGGGCTGTTCTGTTGTCTATTTCATGATTATGTAGCCTCTGGAGTATCGAGGGTGGGGATAGGGCTGTTCTGCTGTCTATTTCATGATTATGTAGCCTCTGGAGTATCGAGGGGGGGTATAGGGCTGTTCTGCTGTCTATTTCATGATTATGTATCCTCTGGAGTATCGAGGGTGGGTATAGGGCTGTTCTGTTGTCTATTTCATGATTATCAGAGCTACATACATCTCTGTAAAAAAAATGAAAAACCTGATAAATGTCTTCTATTACCACAAACAAGGATTATGATTAGAAACTTTGACCTATGAACCAGTCTTAACTCATTCACCCCTGAACACATTTGAACTCTTCCAGTTCAAAGGTTAGAATAATTCATTATGAAAATTTCAGGGGTAAATGAGTTAAGATTTGCATATTCTTTCATCTATCAACACACAAGACAGAAAGTATGGTATATTTATTCATATTTCTTGCCATTTTTCCACTGCCACAGGAAAACTGAAGTCAAGTAAGTTTGGTATTAAAGTTAGTTCTCATGCATGACTTCATCCAAAATTTATGTATTGTTTTTTTCCTCCAAAACAGTGTAATTAGGTAAATGAAGACGGTAGATAATTTTTCTAGTTGCTATTTTTATTATTGTTTACCTAATTTTGTCAATTTTTATGTAAAAACATTTCCTGAATAATTTGTGTTATTGTTAAATAATTTTCACAAAGGTGTGTTGTTTTGTCTGTTATCTATGGCTGCAGTATTTTGTGTGCTTAATTTTAGTGAAAAAAAAAGTGATTTTCAGTAATTTTGTAACACCCTTGTCAGTGTTTTTGTTTTGAAGTCATTGTGATTTAGATATGTATTTTGTGGTCAATGCTTACAAAAATGAAAAACATCAAGCATATTTGTTGTGTGAACAAAATACATGTACTGGATATTTTTATATTGTTGATTTTTTTCAGTCTTAAACAACCAAACCCAGATGTAAAAGATTTTTTTTTGTCCAGAAATAATAAAAATCTGGACAAAAGTCTAAAGCAGCCAAAACAAGATGTGAAATTTAAATGTTTGTCCAGAAATTCAAAAATATCCCGACAAAGTGTCTGAAACAGCCAAAACCAAATGTAAAATTATAATTTGTCCAGAAGAAAATAAAATCTAGACAAAAGGTCTGCAATATTTGTTCCCTCAGTAGCGAAATTGTTACAAGAAAATATTCTGTTTTGAAATTGTGATATTTTTTTAGTGAAAAGAATGTATTTAAATGTCACTTTACAGCTGCAATACCGTGTATAGCTGGGGAAGTGTTATGGACAGAGGGTAATTGTGTATATGCACTGCCTCTAAACCGATACGTCTGTATCATCATCTGTATGCATATATATACATTATAGATATATAATCATTATAGTCAGTATCTACTCCACATAGCTAAGCCAGTTTTATATAAAAATCGCTGAATCAGCAAACTTGGGGGGAAAACATTTCTTGACTCGATCTTAGCCATTAATAAAATAATTAACGACTTTTCACATCTATTTCTATATGAAAGTGTAGCTATGGCAACCTAATTAATTAATTGCATGCATCATTGCCGAGAAAATATTGACAAATTATGACTAATTTACTAGAAACCTTACACTTTTCTAACATTACTGATAAATTAACTACACATGGACCAGTACTGTTAATTCGCGTTGATATAAGATGTTAGGTAAAACTAAAGCGATGAAAACATTGTTGAAAACGTTGTCTGAAGGAGCAGTGAAAACACTTATGTTAGCAATGTCACATACTCTAGTACTCGTGTGTACTAAAGGAAATATAGGGTCCAGCAGGTATTAACTCATTCACCCCTGAAGACACAGTTGAACTCTTCCAATTCAAAGGTTGATATAGTTTATTATGAAATTTCAGGGGTGAATGAGTTAATACTCTCAAACTTCTAAATTTTGTTTGGTTTTTTAATTCTTTTTCACAGTCAATATACTGTATGATAATTTGACCTTTTAATGTTAAATCATACTTGATATACAACTAAAGATGCTTCTGCATCTTGTATTTGTTTTTGTGTATTTTTTTCCCTTTATTTACTTTTATTGTTTATCTTTATTTACTTCTGATTGTCTTGTAAGTCATATCCTTGCTTTGTTTACTTATGCTAATTACATGTCAGTGATGACCCTATATTCTCAGGGGTCATTGCAACTGACCAATCAGCTATTGGTTATACACTAGAGGGGTATACGCAATAATTATAACAGCAGCATCGTTTTGGCAGATTTTTCACTGTTTGTATTTTGCGTACCCGCCCATCATCCCCATCAGCTCCTGTCTGATGTGGTCGAACTCATACCCGAGTTCTTCGTCTTTTTTCCATATTTTCATACTGCCAAGAACGATGCATCTATTTTAGTTCCTGATTTGACTGTACCCTTTATTTTCGGCTTTTGTTGATTTTAGTTTTGATCGACAGTATGGTTTTACTGCCATATGTAGTCACGTAGTCTCTTATAACATCATGTTTTCTGTGTACATTTTTACTTTCATTCCATGTTCTTTTAGGTGGGCTATACCCACTATTTAATGGCTTGATCATCATTGATAGGGTTACTCTATTCCTATTAGTGCTAATGGTGCTTTATATCTAAACTGGTATCAGTGAATCAATTACTCTGTCAACCTCCTTGGAATAGCTCCTAGTGAATACCTCTGGATCTACATCCTTTATAGTTCTAGTGTCAATCTTGATTCGCTCCAGATTTTTACTTCGGACTTACTTCTCTGGAATCGCTCCAGGGTCAAGTTTGTCTTTTCTTAAATCGCTTAAGAGTCTTAATCTTGAATCGCTCACGAGTATGACCAGTCTTGGTTTCTTTTAAATTGCTTCAAAGTTTTCTAGCTCCAATTTAGTGTAGAAGGCTTTTCATTCTTGGGGAATTTTACCCCCAATCCTTTATTTGGAATATTCCTTTACTGTATCCTTAGAATTAGCTGCTCTCGAATCGCTCAGAGTATAGCTACCTTATCTTGGCTGCTTTTAAATCGCTTAAGAGTCAAATATTCTATTCCTCAGCTTCTTTGAGGTTGCTTAGAGTCTAGTTGCTTCTCAGGCAGAGTATATAAGCTTCTTCTTTAAGTTGTCTTCAGGTCGAGCACGTTCTCCATTCTCAGACTTCTCGGTGTATCACAGAGTTTAGCTTAAAAAACTTAAATTCAGATTATTTGCATGTTTAATTGAGGTGCAGATTCAGTAGGCCCTGATATGCCACAATGCTTGTTTTGTATTTGTTTAACTCATTCACCCCTGAAAATATATTTGAACTGGTCCAATTCAGTGGTTGGAACAGTTCATTATGAAATTTCAGGGGTGAATGAGTTAATAATTCTTTACACATCTGTCTCAAATTTCTTGTACATGCATATATAAATACTGTAGTAATAAACAGGTATTTGTTAAGATTAGTACAGGAGTCTATCGTTATTTCTTCCAACTATTAAGAAATTGTAGCATAACTTTAATATAACATTTTTATCAAATAATTTTCATAGTCATAGTTTCATGAATAAGGGAGTTATGAAAGAGTTTTACATATTTACCTGCCGATAATTTAGAAATGTGAACTGGGAATAAAGATTAATACTGGGTAGTAAAAATTAAACTTTTTCAGATGTATATTTGTTGTTGTGTATTGTGTTCTGTTTTTAGCCTTTAAGAGCCAATTTTGCTCATGCCATGATGTGGCCTCTATCGTCTGAGTTGAGAATAGTGGATGTAATGTTATATGATGAAAATTTGTATGATAAAAAAATTCTCTGGGGCAGGATGGCAGGGAACAAGGAAATCAAAGATCAATGTTAAAAAGAATATTCCTTCAGTATGGTTAAAGGTGTTTCAACCTACCTTGGTACATCTATAGGAATTCTGTAGTCAAGGGAATTCAAGGTTGTAACTATACATGATACAGACCACCTGGTGGATTCAGATAGCAAATTAAAACTGGTGAGTGATACAGGTCCTGTGGGCCTCATGTTCCATTATTTTGGGTTGGGTTGGGTTGGGTTGGGGGGAGGAGTCCTTAGAAAGAAGACACAAATAAATACAAGGCCTATTTCTGAGTTTTAACAAAAATATATATGCATGGATACAAGGATTATAGATCATATGTGGTTCAGAAACTGATATTTATCTGTTGTAAAAGGGGGCAACATATTAGAGACCACAGGTAAAATCTGCTATAAACCTCATCACTGCTTATCACAGGTACAGTACAGTACCTCAATCCTTTCCCAAATCCTCTAATAACAAGAAATATCAATGCAAAGCATATCTCCAGTATCTGTTTGTTTTGCTTTAATATGGGGATGGTGTCAACATGCATACTGTGTTATAAATTTCATCCATAGCTTACATCCTGTCTGTGTCTTTGATTTCTGTTATTATACCTCCCGCAACGAATATACTGGAATCAGCTTGTCTGTCCGTTCATCTGTTTGTCCGTAGAATTACAGGGTAATAGTTAGCCTTTAGCTTACATTTCTGGTTTATATAGGAGCGAGGGGTATTAGTTAGCCTTTAGCTTACAGTTCTGGTTTATATAGGAGCGGGGGGGTATTAGTTAGCCTTTAGCATACAGTTCTGGTTTATATAGCAGTGGGGGGGTAATAGTTAGCCTTTAGCATACAGTTCTCGTTTGTATATAGCAGTGGGGGGTAATAGTTAGCCTTTAGCATATAGTTCTGGTTTGTATATAGCAGTGGGGGGTAATAGTTAGCCTTTAGCATACAGCACTGGTTTATATAGCAGTGGGGGTAATAGTTAGCCTTTGGCTTACAGCACTGGTTGATATAGGAGTGTGTGTGTGTGGGGGNTGTGATGTTTTTATGTAATATGTGTTTTGTTTTTTCATGTTATATTTTTGTTATGTTGTATATGTTGTTTGTTTCTTTGTTGTTTATGTGTTTTAAATATATGTTGTTTCTTTTTATCAGTTATTAGTTGGTTGAAATATTACTTTAGGACATGATGTCTCTCTACAAATTCAGTTTTTCTTCAATAAATGGATTATGTATTATATGTAACTTAGGGGTTTTAAAAGAAGGACATTTGTATAGTACAAGACATTTTCAAGGAAATAGTTTGCTATAATTTAGTTACTATTTTGAACATGATACATCTAGTTTGCCCAGCTGTACATTCAGATATAGACATCTGCATCAAGTAAATTAGTGATGGACCAGTGTTCCTTGTAAAAATTGGAAGGGACAAAATACAGGATTCATAGAATTGTCTTTTTTTCAGATATTTTATTACAAGTAATTAAATTATATAATATTTAAAATTTTAACAATATTTAAGTCATAAAATATTTTAATTTGTTTAAACAATATTCAAATTATAAAATATTAAAAAAAATATATATAATATATATATCAAATTCAAATTTTTTTTTGCCTGTCACTAATGATTAACAAAAATGATAATTTTCCGAATTTTAACACTAGAAGGAGGGGCACACAGGTATTGTCAATAGAATTTCACCGAGATATTGTAACGTAATATTGTGATGCAGCATGTTCAACATAGTCAATGTATCACCATGTAAATAACCATGGAATTGAATCACAAAAATTCACAGAACGTTAAACAAAATAACACAATAAAGCATGTATAGGGGAAATTTGCATAATGTCGCAAGCATCATCAATTTAATTATTGTAATCAAAATATTTGCAAAAAAAATATGAATACCGGTAATATAACAATTACTCATCACACTGTCAAACCTTGTTAGTGGAAACATTTTTTTTTTTTTTTAAACTCTTAAAAAAAGATGATAATTCTGAACTAATAAAATGAGTAATATAATGGTTAGATGTGCAGTTTAGAATATTTTAGGCTTGAAAACAAGTCATCTGGATTAAAATATAGTCTAGATTAATAAGTCTGGATTAATGGATACAAAATTAATGAGTCTGGATTAATAGATGCAAAATTAATGAGTGGATTTGTGGATACAAAATTAATGAGTCTGAATTAATGGATCTATATAAATGAATCTGTATGCACTTTACATCATCATAACTTCTTATTCTGACAGATAAACTGATCAGGTATAAAAAATGACAATAAGGCATTAAAAAGTGAAATATAATATTGAACTGTGTCACCGATATGTTTTATAATATTTGTAAAATTTGGTTTTAATTGGATTCTAAACAATATCTAGAAGGAATGCATACTAATCAAAATACAAAAGATCCCACATACAAAAATATATGTTAAGATTTTAGCACCAAGAACATGTATTTCCAAAACTAAATTTGTCCCCACTCCATTTTCAATGTGACTTGTTTCTTATGAATGACATACCAGTGTTTTTGTCAGAGTTGTCTCCCCTGGCTAGTTAATAATAGCATGTGATTGTTTTGTTCCTCAGGTTGTTTTCCCCAGGGTTGTGCAGCGTTTAAAACAATCTCTCCGAACATAGAACTGGAGGAATCGGGGATCAAGGATGACTCGGGCATGCAGGATGTCCAGTATACAGAGGTACAAACGTCAGCTATTATTGGTTAACGAGATATGCTTCCTTGCACACTATTATTAGCCCAGAGGTACTAGCCTCATCTGTCAATACACATATTATAGGTATATGACAGACAAGGCTAGTATATATGATTAGCCCACCAGCTATTTAGAAGGCGGGCTTTTCAAATCACATTTTGTTCATGGACTGTCCATCTGTTTTTCTGTACATCCGTTGATAATTATTGTTATTTCTTATAAAGGACTTGTCAGATCTTTCTCAAATTTTGTACGCAGGTTCCCCTTTGTGCAGCATCAGATTTGTTTCGGGATTTGATGGAGTAAAAAATATCCATCTCCTGTACATGTGCTACATCTCCTGTGCTGCACCTGTAATGGTGGGCACCAAAATTCTTCTGGGATCTCTTGTTTGATTTGTGTGACATTTATATTCAAAACTAAACTAAATAATTTCCAGATAGGTAAACATTCTTGTGAACATTTCTCATGTATTATCAGTAAATAGGTCTAGATTATCATTCATAAGAGATGTTTTACAGGTTTCCTTGAGTAGAACTCTTCTGGAACGGAGGTACATTTCACACATGGTAGCAAATATTCCTGAATGTACTGTAAAATATAAGTTGAAATCAGGAGAATTGTATGACTGGATTTTCTTTCCAGGAAACTATGGTGCAGTTCCTTGAGCAAGCTGTCAATGCTATGGAGCTGGCAGAACGATACGAAATCCTCGGGGAAATTTACCGACTCATCATTCCAATCTACGAATTCTCACGTGACTACGAGGTATTCCTATCTACCAATTAACACAAGACTTTCTGATTTCGCTTTTTTTCTTATATGATAAATAGAATATAGTTTTCCCTCTAATTCCAGAAAAAAATTGAATCGTTTGTTATTATCTGTTTTTAGGTCACCTGAGCTTTAGCTCAAGTGACCTATTGCTATCCGTTTTCGTCCGTCGTCGTCCGTCGTCCGTTAACATTTTACATTTCAAACTTAAAGTCAAGTTCTGCTGGGCCGATTGAACTGAAAGTTGGTAGGAATGATCGCCTCATGGTCCTGACAAAGTGTTGTTATTTTTCGGGTCGATCAGAAATCCAATATGGCCGCCACGGCCGCCATTTTGAAAACCTATTTCAAACTTAAAGTCAAGTTCTGCTGGACCGATTGAACTGAAAGTTGGTAGGAATGATCGCCTCATGGTCCTGACAAAGTGTTGTTATTTTTCGGGTCGATCAGAAATCCAATATGGCCGCCACGGCCGCCATTTTGAAAACCTATTTCAAACTTAAAGTCAAGTTCTGCTGGACCGATTGAACTGAAAGTTGGTAGGAATGATCGCCTCATGGTCCTGACAAAGTGTTGTTATTTTTCGGGTCAATCAGAAATACAATTTGGCTGCCATGGCCGCTATTTTGCTACTAAGTTCTAATAGGCCGATCTCACTTAAAATTGGTCTAGGAATGATCAGCTCATGGTCCTGACAAAGTTAAGTTAACATTATACTATTTTTTACTCAAATTGGTACATATTTCAACAACAAAAATAAATACTATAGACTCAGGTGACCGTTAAGGCCCATGGGCCTCTTGTTTTTTTTTTTTTACCAGTGAAATATAAGGTTTTACAATGGGACATTATCTACTGTTACAAATAGCTGTTCTCTGTAGATAGATACTGCTCCTATTTCATTTATGTAGTCTATAAAGTCAGCGCTGTTTGAGTGTTCTGGTAGGCGTGGGTTTGAGTGTTCTGGTAGGCGGGGGTTGAGTGTTCTGGTAGGCGTGGGTTAGAGTGTTCTGGTAGGTGTGGGTTTGAGTGGTCTGGTAGGTGTGGGTTAAGTGTTCTGGTAGGAGGTGGTTAAGTGTTCGGGGTAGGCGTGGGTTAGAGTGTTCTGGTAGGCGTGGGTTAGAGTGTTTTGGTAGGCGTGGGTTGAGTGTTCTGGTAGGCGTGGGTTAGAGGGTTCTGGTAGGCGTGGGTTTGAGTGTTCTGGGAGGCGTTGGTTTGTGTGTTCTGGTAGGCGTGGGTTGAGTGTTCTGGTAGACGTGGGTTAGAGTGTTCTGGTAGGTGTGGGTTTGAGTGGTCTGGTAGGTGTGGGTTAAGTGTTCTGGTAGGAGGTGGTTAAGTGTTCGGGGTAGGCGTGGGTTAGAGTGTTCTGGTAGGCTTGGGTTAGAGTGTTCTTGTAGGCGTTGGTTAGAGTGTTCTGGTAGGCGGGGGTTTGAGTGTTCTGGTAGGCGTGGGGTTGAGTGTTCTGGTAGGCGTGGGTTTGAGGGTTCTGGTAGGCGTGGGTTAGAGTGTTCTGGTAGGCTAGGGCTAGAGTGTTCTGGTAGGCGTTGGTTAGAGTGTTCTGGTAGGCGTGGGTTTGAGTGGTCTGGTAGGCGGGGGTTTGAGTGTTCTGGTAGGCGTGGGTTGAGTGTTGTGGTAGGCGTGGGTTAGAGTGTTCTGGTAGGCTTGGGTTAGAGGGTTTGTGTGTTCTGGTAGGCGTTGGTTTGTGTGTTTTGGTAGGCGTGGGTTTGTGTGTTCTGGTAGGCGTGGGTTAAGGGTTCTGGTAGGCGTGGGTTTGAGTGTTCTGGTAGGCGTGGGGTTGAGTGTTTTGGTAGGTGTGGGTTTGAGTGTTCTGGTAGGCGTTGGTTTGTGTGTTCTGGTAGGCGTTTGTTTGTGTGTTCTGGTAGGCGTGGGTTTGTGTGTTCTGGGAGGGGTTGGTTTGTGTGTTCTGGTAGGCGTGGGTTTGTGTGTTCTGGGAGGGGTTGGTTTGTGTGTTCTGGTAGGCGTGGGTTAGAGGGTTCTGGTAGGCGTGGGTTAGAGTGTTCTGGTAGGCTAGGGCTAGAGTGTTCTGGTAGGCGTTGGTTAGAGTGTTCTGGTAGGCGTGGGTTGAGTGTTCTGGTAGACGTGGGTTAGAGTGTTCTGGTAGGTGTGGGTTTGAGTGGTCTGGTAGGTGTGGGTTAAGTGTTCTGGTAGGAGGTGGTTAAGTGTTCGGGGTAGGCGTGGGTTAGAGTGTTCTGGTAGGCGTGGGTTAAGTGTTCTGGTAGGCGGGGGTTTGAGTGTTCTGGTAGGCGTGGGTTGAGTGTTGTGGTAGGCGTGGGTTAGAGTGTTCTGGTAGGTGTGGGTTTGAGTGGTCTGGTAGGTGTGGGTTAAGTGTTCTGGTAGGAGGTGGTTAAGTGTTCGGGGTAGGCGTGGGTTAGAGTGTTCTGGTAGGCGTGGGGTTGAGTGTTCTGGTAGGCGTGGGTTTGAGTGTTCTGGTAGGCGTGGGTTTGAGTGTTTTGGTAGGTGTGGGTTTGAGTGTTCTGGTAGGCGTTGGTTTGTGTGTTCTGGTAGGCGTGGGTTTGAGTGTTCTGGTAGGCTTGGGTTGAGTGTTCTGGTAGACGTGGGTTAGAGTGTTCTGGTAGGTGTGGGTTTGAGTGGTCTGGTAGGGGTGGGTTAAGTGTTCTGGTAGGTGTGGGTTTGAGTGTTCTGGTAGGCGTGGGTTGAGTGTTCTGGTAGACGTGGGTTAGAGTGTTCTGGTAGGTGTGGGTTTGAGTGGTCTGGTAGGTGTGGGTTAAGTGTTCTGGTAGGAGTGGGTTAAGTGTTCTGGTAGGTGTGGGTTTGAGTGTTCTGGTAGGCGTGGGTTTGAGTGTTCTGGTAGGTGTGGGTTTGACTTCAAGCTGTTAGTGAACGTGGGAATTGTTCGCATAAAATGGTAGGCGTGGGTTAGAGTGTTCTGGTAGTCGTGGGTTAAGTGTTCTGGTAGGCGTGGGGTTAGTGTTCTGGTAGGCGTGGGTTAAGTGTTCTGGTAGGCGTGGGTTGGGTGTTCTGGTAGGCGGGGGGTTGGGTGTTCTGGTAGGCGTGGGTTTGGGTGTTCTGGTAGGGGTGGGTTGAGTGTTCTGGTAGGCGTGGTTTAAGTGTTCTGGTAGGCGTGGGTTGAGTGGTCTGGTAGGCGTGGGTTAGAGTGTTCTGGTAGGGGTGGGTTAAGTGTTCTGGTAGGCGTGGGTTTGAGTGTTCTGGTAGGCTTGGGTTAGAGTGTTCTGGTAGGCGTTGGTTAGAGTGTTCTGGTAGGCGTGGGTTTGAGTGTTCTGGTAGGTGTGGGTTTGAGTGTTCTGGTAGGCGTTGGTTTGTGTGTTCTGGTAGGCGTGGGTTTGAGTGTTCTGGTAGGTGTGGGTTTGACTTCAAGCTGTTAGTGAACGTGGGAATTGTTCGCATAAAATTTAGTGTTAAATGTTTATATAAAATGAAGTGTAGTAATTCTTTCAGTTTCTTGTCACTGTTTTTTAAAAAAAAAACAGATGTTAGCAGTCGCAAACAAATTACCCTGGCAGAGAGAGGAAACAGTTCTTACCTGCCTGGTATATAACTATATATAGTAAGACTAGTATTTGACATAGTTTATTGGTTGATAGCCTTTTTTTCGTCTATTATTCAATTACATTTCTATTTCCAGGTTCGTTGACAGTCTATTTTTCGTCCATTTTTCAATTAAATTTTCTATTTCCAGCGCCTATCGGCAGGGTACACCCACCTGGCCAATGCGTACAGCAAGGTAGTGGAGGTGACGGCCTCGGGTAAACGTCTCCTCGGCAAATACTTCCGGGTAGCCTTCTACGGTCAGGTATGTAGTGATCATCATTATGATCCCTGAAGACACATTTGAACCTTTCCAATTCAAAGTTTGGAATAGTTTATTATGAATTTCAGGGGTGATGAGTTAAACTCGTGTGTCTTCAAAATAAATTGGTGCTATTTCCTGATTCATTGTAAGGTATCTTCTAACTATTCAACTAGACTCTATTGAAGATTTATCACCATTATTCTAATGCTATTCAAATAAATTTTACAGCTCTACAAGGTGATGGTTTCTTTCCTAAAATCAATTCATCAAATCTACTGTCATGCTAGAAAACAAGGTTAACAATGCATAGTTACCGTGTTTGGCCGTGGTCAGGGGGACAGTGGTACGAGGGGTAGCAGTGGTACGGGGTGGTACGGGGTGGCAGTGGTACGGGGTAGCAGTGGTACGGGGTGGTACGGGGTGGTACGGGTACGGGGTGGCAGTGGTACGGGTACGGGGTGGCAGTGGTACGGGGTAACAGTGGTACGGGGGGTAGCAGTGGTACGGGGTGGCAGTGGTACGGGGTAGCAGTGGTACGGGGGTGGCAATGGTACGGGGTGGCAGTGGTACGGGGTAGCAGTGGTACGGGGGGTAGCAGTGGTACGGGGTGGTACAGGTACGGGGTGGCAGTGGTACGGGGTGGCAGTGGTACAGGGGGTAGCAGTGGTACGGGGTGGTACGGGGTGGTACGGGGTGGCAGTGGTACGGGGTAGCACTGGTACGGGGTGGCAGTGGTACGGGGTAGCAGTGGTACGGGGGGTAGCAGTGGTACGGGGTGGCAGTGGTAGGGGGGGTAGCAGTGGTACGGGGTGGTACGGGGTGGTACGGGGTGCCAGTGGGACTGGGTGGCAGTGGTACGGGGTTGTACGGGGTGGCAGTGGTACGGGGAGGTACGGGGTGGTAAGGGGTGGTACGGGGTGGTATGGGGGTGGTACGGGGTGGCAGTGGTACGGGGATCCTTAAAATACACAAAACTTTAATGGGGATTTGTTTTGTTTACTTAGCTGTATACTTGGTGTTTACGTACATTAACATACATAATGTACCTGTTACAGTCGTTCTTTGACGAGGAAGATGGGAAGGAATATCTGTACAAGGAACCCAAGGTCACCAGTCTCGCGGAGATCTGTGAGCGCCTCGAAAAAATGTATGGCGAGAAATACGGCCGTGACAATGTCCAACTGATCAAAGATTCCAAACAGGTAAACACAAGTACATCGCTCTACTTTGACAGTAATACACAAGTACATCACTCTACTTTGACAGTAATACACAAGTACATCGCTATACTTTGACAGTAATAAAAATTATAATAAAATATTTTAATGAATTAGATTCAACATATCATGACAGGTGATGTTTGACTGATGGAATGCCGATAATAACACGTACAACTTTAATGTATTACAGGTAAATCCTGCGGAGCTGGACACTAAGTTTGCCTACATCCAGGTGATACATGTAACACCGTACTTCGAGGATAAGGAGCTACAGCGCCGTGTGACAGAATTTGAAAAGAACAATAATATAAAAAGATTCATGTTTGAGACCCCATACACAGAAAATGGGAAAGCTCACGGCGAAATCCATGAGCAATGTAAACGGAGGACTATACTCACGAGTAAGTGAGAAGTTTAACACTTATGAGGATGAAGCACATCGATATGATGTTAATAGTTATCTCCCCTTGGCAGTTCATCACCTATTCCCCTTTCAATAATCACAATCCAAATGGTTGAACTGGTTGGACCAGAGTTGTTCGTTTATGAAATAAGGTCAGACCTAGTAAATCAGATGCTGCTTTCAGGAGAGCCTTGACAAATTCTTGCAAGACCTGCATCAACTTTTGCAGGTCCGCCAGGATTTTTACCCCTTGTGTTCCCTTCATGGATGGCAGTTACGACACATGCTGGTTGGCAAGATTTACTGCTGGTTAGTCGAGACATGTAAAGTAGCACACAAGATGGCTCCCTATGAAGTGTCTACACATGTGTCTATGAATCTTTCTAGGTTGTCACCAGCATAAAAACAAGTGTTATTTCATACATGTGCTTCACCCATTGTTCTACAATTTACTTTGTATATTTTTCATATTGATGTACTTCCTCCACCTAAGTCTGTCTTTGAGAAGGCCAAATGATAACTGGTCTCCTAAATGATACTTTGAGAAAACTTTTGTCAGTCATTTTGCATTCTAGTCACTTCGCTTGGGATTTGGAAAAAGTCACAAGTGGCACCCAAGAGTCAAATTTGTCCTTTTTCACAGGGATGGATCATCTCCCTTTAGCTGTATAATAATTCATAGTTGATTTTCTCCCTTTAAACACATTTATGGAATAAGATGTGTTTTAAATTACTTGCAAACTTGTGTTGCTATCATCTCAATAAAGCTGATAACATGTCAGGTCACCAGCTAGATCTGTGTCATTCCTTATTGTCAGATGTTTGCCAAAAGTTGATGAAGTTTGACTTTAACTCATTCACCCCTACATATTTAAACTGGACTTGCCCAGTCTTTGATTTGGTAAGGTTCAAATGTGACTGTAGGGGTGAATGAGTTAAGTATCCTCAAAATCAACATTACTAACAGAACAAGGAGTTTATGATGTAAGAATATCTGGGTGTCAGAAAAGACAGGAAAATCAATATTTCCGTTTGTGTTCTAGCCTCCCACGCATTCCCATTTGTGAAAAAGAGGATAGAAATTGTAGACCGGAGGGAGATGAGGCTCAGCCCCATAGAAGTCGCTATCGACCAGATGCAGTCAAAAGTTATTGACATGAAAGAGGTTGTCAACTTGTCGCGGCCTGACTCGAAAAAACTCCAACTCCGTCTCCAAGGCAGCGTCAGTGCACAGGTAAGCAGAGCGGTTTCCGTAACCATAGAGACTGGGTAAAAACAAACAGTAGACATTTCACTTATGAAAATATACAATGTTCTCATTAACTTGTGTACATAATATAAATTGATAAAACGAGGTTTATCTGGTCACCTCTAAAATAATACAGCTATATAAACATTTCAGTTTGATTGTTTCTTAAATATGGATATAGCTTCAATAACATTACCTCAAAAATGGTATTACATGTACAACTAAAAACGTATCACCACTAAGATTTTAAAACAAAGTACCACTAAAATTGTATTATGTGTACGTCAAAAATAAGATAATGTGTTACTGTACCACAAAAATGGTATCGCCTCTAAAACGTTTCTGTGGTTACCACAAAAAACAATTTTCCATAGTACATGAAAATATATGTTGAAACTGAAATGGGGCATCCTTTTACCACTTAAATGATACAACCAGTAATATAAGATGACTTCTTAACTATGTGCTATGGTATAATAATTTAGTCTTGCTTGTAACAAGCATTTTCATTGGCTTAAAAAATAAGTTATCAGCCCATAACGTAAAAAAAAGACGTCGCCGTTTGTAACGTTGCTTTTGATTGGCTGATACTGCAGCGCAATAATTTCTAAGAGAAAAGAGTCCATCAATAAAAGTAAATTTCCACAGGGATTGTGTAAAGTAGATTAAATTATAAAGATTAACTTGAATATATTTATAACCAGAGTGTATACTCTCATCATAAACCGTTTTGTGTTATATCTCCATTACATGAATAATATATTCAAGTTAATCCTGAATTAACCATAGATATACATGATATGACAATGTAAATATAAAATCTGTTTGTTATTTTTTTAGCATCTGTCTGGTAAAACTTGGGCTTGCTATATTTGTTTCATTTGAATATTTTTTCTCTAAACTGCCTGTCTGACTGTCACACACCTGACGTTACAGGTAAATGCTGGTCCATTGGCCTATGCCCAGGCCTTTCTGGGGAAGGGGAAGACAGGAGATCACGTTGACTCGCTCAAGGAAGTGTTTAGGTAAGACTTGGGTTTCCATAGAAACCATCATTATATACTGACTGAATTCTGTTCTACAATCTGTAGTCTGTAAATAGATGCAATGTTTTATTTTTTTCAAAGTGAAAGCTTTATAAAACAAACTTCAGGCTGATTTTTAATCATTCACTAAATGTACCATCTATAATTGTTAAAAGTGATAAAAAATCTGGAAAAGATTTTGTTAATGTGACCATGACTTCAATATTGAGGTACATGAAATCATTTGACCTTTGAACTATGAACTTGTACCCCACAGGGAGTTTGTAAGTGTGTGTAATGATGCACTTGACCTCAATGTGACATTAATAACGACGGAACAGAAGGAATACCACGAGTCTCTTTGTGCAGGCTTCCAGGAAATCGTCACAAAGCTCTCGGAATTATTTGGAGAAAAGGTAAAATTGTCATTGTTTACCAATCCAGATCTAAAAGCTATTCCAGGTTTCTGCTTGTTTTTCTTTTTCGCAAATTCTACGATCTTCCGTCAGTGTCTTCTTTGTTTCCGGAGTAAATTTATTTTAAGTACTGGTATTTGAGTTTTATTTTTATTTGAACTCTGTTAAAAACAAATTCAGTTTATTTTAAGATTTTGTCAGAAGTACATGTACCAGTAAAAAACTTCTTTGTTCTAAGATCTTAGTGTGGAGACTTATTAAGAAAAGAGCTTATACTTAGTATGTGTTTAACGAAAACTGTTTATCTTACACGGAGTAATAAAAATCTTACATGGAGTAATAAAAATCTTACACGGAGTAATAAAAATCCTACACGGAGTAATAAAAATGGTTTCAAAGAAAACAGTCTTTGTGATAAAAACAGTCTTGGGATCCATTTTGACATATTACAAATTGAAACAATTTTGAACAAGTTATCTGATAAAAAAACATTTTTAAGATAATTATATTGAACTTTTTTGGAAGTTTCGTGTCTACCTTGCTATGTAATGACTGAATTGTGAATGTTGTTGGCCCATTTCAGTTGCTAAGTAGTAATGGTACAATTCAGAAGAGGTGAGACCCAGCTGTAGAGTAAAGGAGGTTTTCTCCGTTATGTGTGACTACTAACAGCTACCTCCTGTATTATGTACTGTTCAGTACTTGTATTTCACGGAGGTATATTTTCACCACATTCCCAGTCTAAAATAATGAAATCAATTACCCACCAATTTGTTGCTTTTTTTCTTTTTTTGTTAATATCAACTTTTTAAGTTGTTCAGCATAATTTCAACTTTGCTGTTTCGGAAAGAAGCCGGCGGAAAATGTTCACCCCGCGAAATTAAAAAGTACTCTACTTACTCACCGTATTGCTTTAATTGCACATATTAATGCATTTATTTACTTTTCAGGAAATTAGTTTTAATTTGATCAAATATTGATAAATACATGGCCAGTCTTGAAAATGGCATTATCTCCCAGAGATTGTGTTGAACTATAGACAGTAAGACCTTGTTATTTTAAATAGTTAAAATTTATAAAGTGGGATGGAGGCTGTTTCTGATTATTGATTTATTATAAATAGCTTTTCCCAGTATGTTGTGTCAAATACAGCCAATTTCCTTTCTCTATATCCAACGTTCAGGGGAAGAATTGAATCAAAATATAATATTACGATTGTCCTGTTTCTTGTTATGAAACATTTTGTGCTCAGACATTTTCTACAGTTGTGATCTGTATATGACATGTCTTGCAATGCACTTAATACACTTACAGTTGTTTTGAATTAAAATGAAAATATGGTAGTACATTTTTTTTTAAACAAAACAAATAATAAAATTCCAGGGATGGAATTTAGACCTAGCCATTGCCAATACTTCACTTCAATAATGTTGCCATCCAGAAATTTGTAGATTTAATTTAAAAGAATCTAAATAAAAGGGAAGTAACTCTTAGCCCTCCAAAACATAGCTCTAGGTTGGTTTTACTTCTGTATAAAGGGAAAATACTTCAAGTAAAATAAAACCAGCCCTGAAGTAACAGTTTATTCCTGGGAGTACCTTTATAGAGATAGAGGGTGTGCTTCAATGCAGAATTAGTCAGAGATGTCAACAACAAAAATCCACAATAATTTGGGAATCTCATTTCTATTTTACTTCAAATTAAAAGAATCTTGAATTTAATACATGAATGAAAATCTAACACCCTTTGCTGCATTAACGATTATTATTCCTCTTGTGGTTGGGAAGGGTTAATTTGTTCTCATTCATTGTAAAATACTTGCTTTAGTCCTTATACAGTACAAGTATATATAGTACAAGGACGTCGGGATCTTTCTTGGGTGTTTCTCCCAGCGATAACATATATGTATGTAGTGATGCTAGACTTGCCGAGTTCCAATCACACATCTCTCCTAGCTTAATTAGCACTAAAAACATTATCCACTTAATCAAATTTGTTATATTCTTTAGCTTCAAACTTACATTATATTTACATTAGTATATTTAATACAGTTAAGGGATTGAGTGTCCATATTGTTTAGCTTGTTCGTCTTTCATTAAGTAATACAGTTAAACATAACATGTTATAGTTTTCCAAACTGGAACTGTTGGCTACGACTATATTCTTCTTTTATTTATAAGCTGAACTGTCATAAAGTGTTAGTGAACTTGGCAAGGCACAACATACCATGTATGTTGTCTATTTTGAGTATTTTCCCTTAGAACTTCTACAGAAATATCAGGCCTAGGGTGTTATTATTTGGACTAAGTCTTTGACAGAGGCTGTCAAATTTGGGTAAATATGTAACTTTGACCAACTCCGTCACATGGCGCGGGTCAATTATGTTAAAACCTACCAAAAAAGTCAAGAGAATGATTGAGGCTTTTGGGCCTCTTGTACAATTAATGTTTTGTTTATTATTTTGTATATTTCAGTTTAAGTTCTAAAAACCTTGGTGTTTTGTCCCTTTTCACCTGTGTATAAATTACAATGGTACATCTACTTTGTGCTGTGGTTCTTTCCATTAACCTCAATTTCTTTTAAACCATTGCATTATTTTTATTATCTTAAGTATTGTTGGTTCAGTTTTACAATACACTTATATGTTTTATTTTATTTCTTTATCTTTTCCCCAATACTTCTTCATTTCTTAGTTATTAGCTCACCTGTCCCGAAGGGCCAAGTGAGCTTATGGCATGGTGCGGCGTCTGTCGTCAACTTTTTACTTTAAACAACTCCTACTGAATAACCAAGAGGCACAGGCTGATGATATTTGGCCAGTAGCATGCTGGGATGAAGGGCTACCAAGTTTGTTCAAATGAATGACATTGACCAACTTTCAAGATCACAGGGGTCAAATATGTCAAAATCTTCAAACAACTTCTTCTCAATAACCAAATTTAAAGGCCCAGGGTACTGAGATTGGGCCTGTAGCATGCTGGAATGAAGGGCTACCAAGTTTGTTCAAATGAATGACCTTGACCTACTTTCAAGGTCACAGGGGTCAAATGTCTTAAAATCTTCAAACCACTTTTCCTCAATAACCAAAAGGCCAAGGGAACTGATATTGGGCCTGTAGCATGCTAGGATGAAGGGTTACCAAGTTTGTTCAAATGAACGACCTTGACCTACTTTCAAGGTCACAGGGGTCAAATGTCTTAAACTCTTCAAATGATGTCTTCTCAACAGCAGTGTTAGACAGTGTTAACCAAAAGGCCCAGGGTACTGATATTGGGCCTGTAGCATGCTGGGATGAAGGACTACCAAGTTTGTTCAATCGAATGACCTTGACCCACCTTCAACCTAATGTTCTTGCTCGACATTCAATGTCACAGGCGTCATATGTTTAAATCTTTTAATAGGTTCTTATGAATCAAACACTGATATTCTGCTTGTTGCTGTTTTTTAGTCCACTTTTAAGATTACAAGTGTGAGATTAATACCAGGTAAGCTATGCAGGCCCATCGAGCCTCTTGTTTTTCACCCAAACAAATCACACCAGTCTGTTTCTTTTGACCCTAAATACTGTCAACACAGGATTGGTTGGACTACCAAGGTGGTCCTCTGCAATAAGAACGTAACTGAACTCCAACACACATCAATTGGGTTCTTGAACAGAGTGTCAGACATCTAATTTTGGCAGTGCTGTTTTAATAATCTTCTTCAACCTGCAATCAAACAGTTGACAATAATGGGACTTCGGTTCACATTCTGGTTTGCAAGCATTTATTAATCACAATGGTTCAAAACAAACAGAAAAAGTTCACTTCTGCTACTAAATACATTTTGCATACTGTACAGAACTTATATTTCTCGGAGGTGTATTTTTGATATATTCATAACCTAAAAAATGATGCCAAACATCATCTTTGCTAGTCAAGGGTTACGATCTGGTCTGATCCGGTCTACCTGAAGAGTAGGTAGACCAGTTTGTACCAGACTGTAAACATTGGCTAGCAAAGATGGCTAAATGCTGCAGGCTGCTGCAAAATTAATTGCCTTTCAGAAAGAGAGTTATTATAGGCTATGGACCATATTGTAGGAAGTTTTAAGCCTGTTAATTCGTTCCAGTATCCAAACAGCAAAAGTTTGACTTGAAAATTAAGGAGTTTGATAGATTATGATCTGGTTATGGCTGTGTATACTGACAAGTCAAACCAAGTATCCATTTATAACCAGATCTGTGTCGCATGTCACTGTGTGGACCGGTCAGAGGAGAATTAGATTGAAACTAAACACACACAGGAATCCTACAATGACTTTGGTATACATAATATACAACACAGAACCAATGGCACAGTCATTGTATTTTGATATTTCAACGATTAATTAACTTATTCACCCCTGAAATTTCATAATGAACTATTCCAACCGTTGAATTGAAAGAGTTTAAATGTGTCTTCAGGGGTGAATGAGTTAACCCTTTCAACTCTAGGTAAGTTTAGTAGACTCTACCACATTAATCAGGATGAGTCCATTGTGGTCCATAGTGATGAAAGGGTTAATTAATTACCATTGAATTCAGATATACAGGAAAACTCTTGATTGTTAAATTGTCTGTTTTAGTAAAAATATTTTGAGCTACAAGTGTTCATAAATAGTAAGGAAGATACCCCCCATATTGACATAATTCAAAATGGAGTTTTCTGTTTGTTTGAGTAAGGAGTTTGTTTTAACACATTGGAGTTCCAGTTCTGAAGGGTGTTTTTTCTCACTGGAGTTGAATTCTGACTCATAGTGTCCCAGTTCTGAAGGGTGTTTTACTCACTGGAGTTGAATTCTGACTCATATGAGTTAGAGTTAAGAGGTTATTGGACTCGTTGGATTTTTAATTACAAAGTTTTTTTGACTAACTACAAAAGACAAATTGAATTTGTTGAGTCGTTTTTACAGTGAATGATGTAGTTAATTCAAGATAGCATGATTAGTAACTTTTAGGACATGCTCTTTTGACTGATGTTAAACACTACTTGTCGCATGACATCATGATTTAGTGACAGATAGGTATATATGTATGCACAACTGATTAAATCTTTAGATAGATTTCATCTCATTTCAATATTTTAGATTTGATAGTTTTTAGTAATACATTACTTGGAGTAGATAACTGATCATTTGAACCCAACAGAAGTTATAACTTGTTCGGATAAGTGGTTATTCAGATTACTGGTGGCCCAGTATTTATTGTGGGACGTGACCAATATTCTAACTATTGAAATTTTGAACAGGGTTCAGATTATCAGCATTCTGCTGTATATCAAAGTCATTTGCACTACATGTATGAAAATCTTTTGGATCAACAGTATATTCCTCATAATTGCGTTGGATACACAAAAATTATTTCTGTCTATTTTTGCTCGATTATGTTACGAGGTAATAACCTCGTTTAATCAGAATGATCCATTGTGCCAATGACTTTGACAAAATGAGAATTGATTATAATTATCTTTTTGTTATTTAGTTAACTCATTCACCCCTGAAATTTCATAATGCACTATTCTAACCTTTGAATTGGAAGAGTTCAAAAGTGTTTTCAGGGATGAATGAGTTAAATGTTAATGTTTGTTTTACAGTTATTTACTCAAAATCGTTTTAAATTTGAAACCGAGGCAAATAAATTTAGATGTAGCTCTGCATCGGTGTTATTTACAATTTTACTGCATTATGAAAATTGTTAGTGTTTCTATGTCTAACGGATTCTTTTAACGGATTGTGAATGAAAAATGGAATGCTTATTTAAATAACCTGAAATTGTTCATTCGTAAAGCATGTACATATCGTTAATTTCACCGTTATTTTTCATACACCTGTGGTCAGGGCAAGCCTAACTGTCTTTTGTCAGGTAGCATGTCTAAACCTTGTCGAGAATTGCCAAAGGTCCAATCTTGATGAGTGAATGTCATTAATGTGAACAATATCCATTTGGAGAAAAGAAAATCTGAAATAATTTCATGAATTTTCACTTGAACAATATTTTCTTTTAAAGATATAAAACAATGGCAACATCACAAAGATATCTTTCCTACTGTTTTTGTATTATTTCAAGTACATACATTTAACACAAAATTACAAATGGACCAAGTAAGTTTACCAAGGATTAATCTCTTTCAAAAGTCTGACACAAGTTTGCCAAAATGTGAAGAATCAAACCAGTGCCTTCTAGAAACACCGCCAAGTGCTATAGACCTCATACCCAACCAGTCACTTACAAATCAAATTCTTAGGGAACTCTTTTGTACAAGAAGATCAGAAAGTGAGCAATATGGTCAGTTATGGGTTGTGTTTATGATCTTCAACTGCCAATCGAACTTTGGTTTTAGTTTTGTTTAATCTTTTGACCTCTGACCTTTGCAGATCCTGACCTCCACTGAAGCGGGATCCCTGTCCCAGCGAGGATCCATGACTGTGTTTAACATTGTCAGCACGACCTCCAGCACCAGTTCTGCATGACTAAGGATCTGTTACCATGACAACAAAGGTCAAGTTTCCGGACAGGGGTCAAGTTCCACTTGAAACTTTACTGCACTTATCTGGAGACAATACTGTGAAAAATAGTGATACGTTTGTAGAGACAGGAAGGATTGTTAAACATTGCATATCTATTGAAGAAAAGGTTGAACTACTTAATATAACTTATTGAAATGACGAATATGTACAACGTTATCATTCATTCAATCCAGATGATGAAGACATTGTTTTGGTAGGAGAGACAAATTGTTGTTTGGATCAGTGGTAACATTTGTGACATCAAAAAAACAGAAAATGCTCTTTTACTGACAGCCAATGAATCAACACAAGTTTGCTATGTCGTAATACACAACAAATAATAAGCCAATCAGATAGTAGCCTACTAACAGAACTAACCAATCAGATGTAATGATATATACAGTATGTACATAAGATTACAGGTTACACAGTTGCCATGGTAACAGGAAGTGAAAACATCAAAATTCTAATTATACACAATGTTGTAATCAGTATGCGACTGACTTTGATGTTTAAATATTTTGTAAGCTTGGAATTTCGTGACATGTTTTGAGTAATTAAGTGCATATGTATAATCTATGTGTAAATGAAACCTCACAAAGTGTTGTTTGGCATATGGTGCTTTGGTCTGTGAGAAGTTCAATGCTTAGCAGACATTTCTGCATATATATCAAAATTAAACGTCCTTAAGTTTTATAAGACAAATTTTGTTATGATTTTATTGCTTTATTTTGAAATCTTTGTTGAAGGAGTAAATCTAAGCCTGGGTAGATATCTTTGTACCGTATTCGCCTTAAATAGCCTCCCTGGCACTGCACATTAGATATTTTAGGAGGGTTGAAGTCAAGCCTTTTCAAAAACTTCACCTTTTTGTAAACAAAACTTAAAGATTTTCATGTGTGTTTCAGAAATATTTCACTTAGTTATCAAGACTAGTTTGAAAGATTTTGTGTTGTCCTATTTCTGTTCTCCAAATTTCTCCTAGTTTTCCCCTGGGTTTACTGTGTGTTTAACTCACTTTCTGTCTCTGTCTGTTGAAAGCTAATAATCAAAATGTCTTGAAACCAATAATTAAAATAAGAATTTAATGTGAGTTTATTTGATGAATTGCTTCACGTGTATTTAATGCAATCTGTTAAGTTTTATAAGTATGCCATGTCTGACTTTACCTCAAATTTCAAATAACGCAATCAATGTGATAACAAAACACTCACTATTTTTTTTATCATTTAGATGTAGTTGTCTCCCTTTGACTGTTTAGATGTAGTTGTCTCCCTTTTACTGTTTAGATGTAGTTGTCTCCCTTTGACTGTTTAGATGTAGTTGTCTCCCTTTTACTGTTTAGATGCAGCTGTAGTACACAAAGAAGGGTCCAGGTGTGCAGCTTTCCATTAGACTGGCTTGACTGTTCCTTTTCATTAGGACGTGAAAGCAAAGAAACATATATCAAAGATTACAGATATCAATTTGAACGAAATAGATTGAACAGTTTTACCAATCTAATAGAAAGTTACTTGATTAACTGCAATTGTCAGTAAATTTCATGTTTGTTTAGAATTTTACTTCACATTGTATTATACATAGGAGTTGTGTGCTCCTTCTAGTATTAGTGATATTACCATAAAACATGTCTTTACACAGGCTCTTGGTTTATTTACAAGTACACAAAATTCATGTGCCAACTTCAATTTTCAATTTTCTCTGCTCAAGCTTCAAAATCTTTTTATTTCTTAAGTTTATGGTAAGCTTAAATTTGAAGTAAAAATTACAATGATTGATATTGATGATCTAATTTTTTGAGAATATTCACTATAATGCGGTTAGAATGTTTGTGTAAGAAGGCCCATATCGTGAACTTATATTTAATGTTCTAACTTTATGAGAGAAAGAAGTTTTAATCTTAATTGTTGACTAATAAATGTTTGGTGTCGCTTGTAGGGTTATTATTACTTCCCAAAAAATACATCTAGGAACCCTCTGGTCAGTTCAGCTAGGAGCTTGCTGGTCACTCCATCTAAGAGCCCTCTGGTTGGTCTAGCAAGGAGCTTGTGGGTCACTCCATCTAGGAGCCATCTGGTCAGTTCAGCCAGGAGCATGCAGGTCACTCCATCTAGGAGCCCTCTGGCCGGTCTAGCCAGGAGTTTGCCGGTAGCTCCATCTAGGAGCCCTCTGGCCGGTCTAGCCAGGAGTTTGCCGGTAACTTCATCTAGGAGCCCTCTGGCCGGTCTAGCCAGGAGTTTGCCGGTCACTCCATCTAGGAGCCCTCTGGCCGGTCTAGCCAGGAGTTTGCCGGTAACTTCATCTAGGAGCCCTCTGGTTGGTCTAGCCAGGAACATGCAGGTCACTCCATCTAGGAGCCCTCTGGTCGGTCAAGCCAGGAGCGCTCCGGTCAGTCTCCAGGAGCTTTCCGGTCACTCCATCTGGTCATCTATAATAAAGTTGTTGAGTGTTTGGGAATAGTTTGAGCTTTTTCTATGCACAGCACTTTTCTGAGTGATCCAACAGTTCCAGTGATCCAGCAGTTCCAGTGATCCAGCGGTTTCAGTGATCCAGCGGTTCCAGTGATCAGCGGTTCCAGTGATCCAGCGGTTCCAGTGATCAGCGGTTCCAGTGATCCAGCAGTTCCAGTGATCAGCGGTTCTAGTGATCCAGCGGTTCCAGTGATCCAGCGGTTTCAGTGATCAGGGATTCCAGTGATCCAGTGATCCAGCGGTTCCAGTGCTCAAGCGGTTCCAGTGATCCAGCGGTTCCAGTGTTCAGCGGTTCCAGTGATCCAGCGGTTCCAGTGATCCAGCGGTTCCAGTGATCAGCGGTTCCAGTGATCAGGGGTTCCAGTGATCCAGCGGTTCCAGTGATCAGCGGTTCCAGTGATCCAGCAGTTCCAGTGATCAGCGGTTCTAGTGATCCAGCGGTTCCAGTGATCCAGTGATCCAGTGATTCCAGTGATCTAGCGGTTCCAGTGATTCCAGTGATCCAGTGATTCCAGTGATCCAGCGGTTCCAGTGATCCAGCGGTTCCAGTGATCCAGCGGTTCCAGTGATCAGGGGTTCCAGTGATCCAGTGATCCAGCGGTTCCAGTGCTCAAGCGGTTCCAGTGATCCAGCGGTTCCAGTGATCCAGTGATCCAGCGGTTCCAGTGATCCAGTGGTTCCAGTGATCCAGCGGTTCCAGTGATCCAGTGATCCAGTGATTCCAGTGATCCAGCGGTTCCAGTGATCCAGTGATCCAGTGATTCCAGTGATCCAGCGGTTCCAGCGGTTCCAGTGATCCAGCGGTTCCAGTGATCCAGTGATCCAGCGGTTCCAGTGCTCAAGTGGTTGCAGTGATCAGGGGTTCCAGTGATCCAGTGATCCAGCGGTTTAAGTGATCCAGCGGTTCCAGTGATCCAGCGGTTCCAGTGATCAGGGGTTTTCTTCCGAGACCTTTCTAGAGGTTAATAATGTAAATTGTACCAGTTGTTGTCATCTATTTGTGGTTATCTCTGTCAAATTTGTACATAAATGAATTCGGTTAAAATGTGCTTTGCTAGATATTTTTTTGGAATTTAGAAGTTTTTTCTTTACTTAAGTATACATATATATATATATGAAACAGTCTGATGCTGTTGGTGTACTTGATTGTCATAGAAACGAATTGTCTTCCATGTATATTACAAAGTATGGTGCAGGCCAAGAATCTGCATTACAGAGTATGTTTCGTTGGCCCTGAATCTGTATTATATCGTACAACACAGGCCGCAAATCTGTATTACAGAATATTGCACAGGCCCTGAATCTGTATTACAGAGTATTGCACAGGCCCTGAACATTTATGACCAATAGGGTGAAACTTATCTTTGAATTTATCACCACAGATAATCCTAATAATATATATTTTGGGAAATTAAAATATGTTTTTTGTGTCACCTGCAAAGTAAAAGTGACCTAATGGGATCACTTCTAGTCCACCAGCATCATCTGCTGAAGTGGTTGTCATGGGATTGAAGGAGTGATGTGACTTTCACAAATTATTTTTTACATACCTATAATATCAACCACCCAAAACTGGAAATCAAGATGGCTACCAGCAGCCATCTTGGAGATTGTGAAAAATCAAATGATTTCCTTTCATTAACCCTTGAAGGGATGCTCAGATTTTCATGAAACTATCTATTAATCACTTAAGTTCAATTTTGACCCAAATCTGAAAATAAACATGGCCGCCAGCTAGGGCTGGATACACATCCACTTCTGTGAAATTCTTGTTTTAGATAGTAGACTTCGGTTTTTTTTTATCTTTAAAGCGTCAGTAAAAAGTTGTATTGCTTGTTTTTCCATTGGTACAATGAATCTGTGATTTTAATGAAGCTGTACTAGAAAAAAAGGGATGATTTTGATGACAAAGTTGCTGTTAACTGTTATAGTATGTGTATACATTGTTGTATAGGATGGCCAAGCCTTTTGTATCTGATGTGCCTTTTCTTTGTTAAACAAACTTTTATTTATAACTTCCAGGATTTTGCATTTATTGGAAACACATCCCAATAGTCGGATTTAAAAACTACTGACCCAGATTGTACTTTGGTATCTCTGAACTGTGATAACGTTTGAAGATTCTTTAACTCATTCACCCCTTAAGACACATTTGAACTCTTCCAATTTAAAGGTTGGAATAGTTCATTATGAAGTTTCAGGGGTGAACGAGTTTAAGCTCAAGGTATACTTATTATCCCTAATAATTCACCTGCTTATCTATGTAATTACGTGTGTTCCTTATCATGATAGAACCAGTCCAAGTGAGTCATCAGTCGCAAACATACTGTATGTGCTTCTGTAAAAATATCATGATAAAAATACGGTATTTCATGGTGTGTGTGTGCAAAGATTTCCAACACCTGCCTATTGTTGAAGACTCTACACCAGGAAACTTTTGCCCAGGCAATTTTTCGCCCTTCACTGGTATAATCCATTTTAGCGCAGTGTTATTTTTGCCCTTCACACATTATTTTGTTTAGTATGTTGTGTACCTATTTTCATCCTTTGTGATAAATTCGTCCTCATTTAAATTTTTGCCCTTTGCCCATGAAATCAGTTTTCACCCAGAGTTAAGTTTGCCCTTCACATTTAAATACTATGTTTATTATGCTGTTTATTTATATTCACTGTAACGATAAATTTGATAAAAAAGCAAAAAAACTAAACTGAAGTGAAGATGTCCTGGTATACAGTAGCTGATTAGACTTGAAAGTTTGTTAATGTTCCGGTGAACAAGTAAATAATGTTATGTAGGTTCTAGATCTATATCTTTACAAAATATCTTTGTTTTGTAAAATGTATGTTTATGCAAATTAATGTGTTAGGTACTTCAAAAATTAATGTCGCTTTTATAAATACACATATGAGTCCTAAATGCGCTGGTGTATCATTTTCATTATCAATTTTTATCAGGAGGTTGAAATTTCAACACAGGAATTCCTATTTATAGATTATAAGCCAATATGTAGGGTTATATTTTGGATGACAGAATCAATATTTGTTATGTCACTGCATTCTGTATATTATTATTATAAGGGATTAATATATTCATGAAAAATTCACCTATCACTTTCCCTCTTGTTGGAACTCTTGAGGACCCAGAACCATAATTTCTTGTGTAATGCCTGCTCCGTTATATATTGCCCACACATGAAAATATCATGTTGAAGAAATGCAGATTGCCCTCCCCAGATAAATTACAATAGTTTAAAGTCCGGTGGGCTTGAGTTTATGTAAATTTACCAGAACAAAATTAAATTTTAAAAAAAGAATGCATATATAAGGATGAAGGATGATATTGTAAGACCAAATGCATATAAATTTAACAAAAACTGTTAATTTCCAGAAATATATCAAATATCACATTTTAAAAATTTGCATTAACTGCTCATTTCTCTATTCTTGCTTTGAACAACCTAACCAGGTCATAGCAAACCAGCCGAGATGTATAAGTTCAAGTGGGAAAGTGTATTTATTTCATATACATAGTTTGCTTTACAAAAACTAGCCCTTTCTTAACAATATAAGATGAGTAGACGACATTATGTGTGTGATTTATCGTTTTGTCTCAAAAGGTAAGGAAGGAAAATATTTCTGCAGAAAAAAATATGTAAAGTAGAAGAATGTAACATTATCTTAAACAGAATATTGTATTAAGTAATTCGGAAGCAAATCATTTAAGATAATTGTGTGATATGAATATTCATGATAAAGTTGTGCAATAAGAATATTCATGAGTATGTTGCATGATGAAAATTCAAGATTATAAAGATGTGAGAATAAGTTTCACCAATGGAAAATAGCAGATGTTATATCTCTCATGGGGTAATTTAGACCTGACAACTTATCTTTTATTTGTTGTTAAGTTTCCTAGAATCATTACACGATAATTTGTGAATCACCTTTCAACCTATTCAGGGTTAAATGTCAGGTGCACTATACAATATATAAATCTGGATGTCAAGAATAATTGATGTCAAAAGTTGTTAATTAATCACAACTTATAGATTCAGAAGGTCAAAGGTGATCAATAGTAGGACAATAGGTCAGAGTTCATATACAGAAGTGTGTAGATCTGGAAGGTCACATGTAATGTCAAGATCTAGGTGAAGGTGAAGGGTCAGAGTTCATGCAATATGTAGATCCAGAAGGTCAGAGGCTGTATCATGAAGGATAGATCAGATGCCTTATAATAAGATCAAATTTTATCCATTATCAGATTGTTTCCCCCTGAAAAAAGCCACGGTAGAAACTCATTATCTATACCTGTGTACTATGTACAACAAATATTCTGTGAGATTTCCTTTTTATGTTAATATGCAATTTCAGATATCTGGAATATTGCCTACACTACAACAATATATGTATTATTGTTCATGTTGTAAATTAAAATCCATGCGAAGAAATCAGCTGAATCAGAATCACCAAAAATAAGGATTATCAGAAAAATGTATACTTGTGAAGATCAGGAAGGTCAAAAGTTAATATATTCATGGACAAAAGGTCATAGATCATACATAAAAGGTCGCAGATGTCAGGTTACTTCTTGTTACTATATCATAAGACTTTGCAATNTTACTATATCATAAGACTTCGCAATATTGATCTTATAGGCAATAAGTTCATTTGTATGTATTCATCTCATTTATATGACTAAACTTATGTAATTAGTTAGGTAGTTTTAAGGAGATAGCAGTGTATGTACCTAAAAGGTAGAAATCTGTTGTCTAATTTTACTGGTTGGCGTGACATATTTATGGGCTGAGACTGAAACACATTTTTTTACGCTGTAACTATAGCACTGCATGTTTATATGGTTTGTTATATTATTATGTGGTGTATATTTATGTTCACTATAGCTGCCAGTGATCCTGAGTTGTACAGTTTTAGAGAGTTATATTTTGTATATATCTGCCATGTACGGTACCATACCTGTATGTCTAATAGGTACATGTATAACAATGGACTGACTTTTGGTGCATATCTAAGTTGTTCCTATCGTAACTTCTTTCTCATTACGCTGTATATAGGATATATTCATCTCCGCTTCCATTTGCCGCATCTTTGTGACATTGCATTAGGTTGGACTTATTCATTTTTTTGGAGGGAGGGGGGTCAAAGTAAATGTATGGTAATATTCCTGAAAAGGGGAAGAAATTAGCGTTCAAATAATTATATAGTTAACCCATTAACCCCTACAGTCACATTTGAACCTTACCAAATCAAAGACTGGGTAAGTCCATTTTAATTATATAGGGGTGAATGAGTTAAGGCTATATACTGCTGTACACATAATATCCAATATTTGTGTGAGAGTTAAGGTTATATGCTACCTTACACATTATACCTGTGATTGATGTTTGAGTTAAGGTTATATGCTACCTTACACATTATACCTGTGATTGGTGTTTGAGTTAAGGTTATGCGCTACCTTACACATTATATACCTGTGATTGGTGTTTGAGTTAAGGTTATATGCTACCTTACACATTATACCTGTGATTGGTGTTTGAGTTAAGGTTATATGCTACCTTACACATTATACCAGTGAACTGTGTTTGAGTTAAGGTTATATGCTACCTTACACATTATACCTGTGAATTGTGTTTGAGTTAAGGTTATATGCTACCTTCCACATTATACCAGTGAACTGTGTTTGAGTTAAGGTTATATGCTTCCTTACACATTATACTTGTGATTGGTGTTTGAGTTAAGGTTATATGCTTCCTTACACATTATACTTGTGATTGGTGTTTGAGTTAAGGTTATATGCCACCTTACACATTATACCTGTGATTGGTGTTTGAGTTAAGGTTATATGCTACCTTACATGTTATAAATGTGATTTGTATAAGAGTTGTTTCCCTTATTTTGCTTTTTTTAAATTTTACCTTGGTACTCTTTCATGATAGAAAGAAAGCAGCTACATGTATCTTTGAAATCTTATAACACAAAACAGAAGGTAATGGTTGTTTATTTCTGATATTGTAAATTAAACATTACAAAATTTATGTATGAATTTGAAGCAGCTATAGATATTTTAGCAAATGTTGTTGTTGTAGAAAAAATACAGTGTATGAAGTAAGTACGAAGGGAATTATAATAATGTTGACTCCATTAGCCCAGTGCAATGTCACAAAGATATATTTTATTGTGATACGTATAATTATGCATTAATAATAAATAAAATATGAAGTAATCTTAACAGATGTTTGGTATGGTTTTTTTTATCCCATTTTCCCCTTGTACAATATTATCAATGTTAAAAGCTATGGAGCGGTACCACCAAAAGCACACAAAACATTCAAAATTCTATGTGAAGCTGATATATAACATGGCATTCCACAATTCCAGCACTGCCCAACCACATACTCATTTACAGCTGAGTAGACTGGAACAAGCAGAGTAAAGTATCTTGTTCAAGGATACAACAAAGTGCCGTGACGTGACTCTAACCTGCAACCCTTTAGTCACGAGCCCGGCGTCCTACCACTAGACCACCGTGCCTCCGCTAGTGTTTCATACACAACTAGAGAAACCCTACATCCAATAAGACAAACATGTACATCACCACCGTGTCCAATGTAGTTCTTAGCGAGTTAACGCTTAATGATATGCAATATGATTCTTCACAATGTACAAATTTTGTATAAAAAAGGGGAATAAAATGGCCAAAATGCACCATTCTGATCACCATCCAACAGTTTCATCAATTGAACATTTAAAACAAAAGTGAGGATTTGGGTTTGAGTTTAAGTTCAAGAATATTTGCTGATTCAGTAATCCCATAGCAATCCAGAGGATGGATGGGGGATTAGCTGAGGAGAAGGAAATTTATCACCTTGTAGAATTTTGAATTATCATATGTCAAAAAGAGTTTAAAAGATTGCAACAATTTTATTGTAATAGGTAAGTAAATTGTTAGTCATACAATTTGTAACAGGCACCTTAAAGAGAAGCCAATACATGTCATACAATCTTTAACAGGCACCTTAGAGAGAAGCCCATTACATGCCATACAATCTTTAACAGGCACCTTAGAGAAGCCCAATACATGTCATACAATCTTTAACAGGCACCCTAGAGAAGCCCAATACATGTCATACAATCTTTAACAGGCACCTTAGAGAAGCCCAATACATGTCATACAATCTTTAACAGGCACCCTAGAGAAGCCCAATACATGTCAAACAATCTTTAACAGGCACCTTAGAGAGAAGCCCAATAAATGATTGGAAATGTGTACTCTAGTGTCTTGAAATCATCGATTCCTTTTGAAAGAGCTTGCAGAGTTTAAGATATTGTCCAAGACTGACTGGTTAAAAAATTATTAGAATTGTCAGAAGCAATTTTTCATACAATTGATTTAAGAAAATGGCAAAGTCTTAAGAAGTGAAAGGATCTTCAGGTGTTATTTATTAACAATAGACCCACTGGGTAGGTATTGGTTGTCTGTTTCTTTGTTTTTACAAGGCAGGAAGTTAAAACATTTCTACTTATTGGCTGCTTTATAAGAACAATGACATTTGTAAAACATTTTTAGCTCACCTGGTCCGAAGGTGAGAACAGAAATGAGCTTGACCTATCAATGTCACAGGGATTTAAAGTGTCAATTATTTAAAACGACTTCTTCTGCAGAACTGAAAGGTATATAATTTTAATATGTGGCTGGTAGCTTCGCTGGTATGAGCCCAACGTAGTTTGAGAACGAAAATGACCTTGAATTACTTTCAAGGTTACAGAGGTAAAAAGTGTCAAATACTTAAAACGACTTCTTCTGAAGATCTGAAAGGTATAGAATCTAAATGTAAGGCTGGTAGGTTTGTAAGTATGAGCCAAATAAAGTTTGACAACGAAAACGACCTTGACCTACTTTCAAGGTCACAAGGGTCAAACATGTCAAACACTTGAAGAACTTCTGAACTTCTGAAGAACTGAAATTATAGACTTAAACAATTTATATTTTTCGACTTTTTCTCCAAAACCCCTGAACCAATTTCAATGGAATTTTGCAGAAACCATCCATGGCCAAAGGTCAATAACATTTGTGAATTACATGGTCCTCAGTCCCCAGGGGCCAGAGGGGCTGAGCCAAAAAGGGTTGAATTGCCTAAATTTCAAAAATCTTCTAATCAAGATCCAGATAT